GAGGGTTTGAGAATGGGCTTTACTGGGTGTTCTTTAAGTATAGTTTTCTATAGGAGTGTCGGTGAACTTGCTTAAGTACGCTGATCTGCAAGGCAAGGCTGTACGCCGTTCCCTCTGCTTTTCGCCATTTACGTCGAGCCGTTTCGCTTGAAACTGATCAAGAATGGAGAAGTTCGTGGCTTCAAACTTCACTCCTCTGGAGTTAAAGGGGCCCTCCGGAGCTTTCTGCGATCGTCTATTTATGTTGTTATATTGCGTAGTAGGCGCAAGTTAATATGTATACAAAGTTTTAGATTACAAAACCGTTTATTAAGCAGCTGGCAGAAGAAATATATCGGGACTATTTTCTCTTGGAAAACAATCCCCCATTCCCTGCCCATCGCTAAAACTTGACCAATGGAAATGCTGCATCTCGCGGTGAATGCGAACGTTATTATTGCAACACTCTTTAAGCTTGTTGTAAATTAGAGTTTGAGAAAAACGTAAAGTGATTGTGGTGCGGGAAACATAGTCCGCAATTATCGCTCCAAAACCAGCGAACTATGTTTTCTCCCCGCAAGCTTGTTGCTAGGAGGTGATGCGTCGGCGCGTCGGCTCGTCTGCTTCCCGGGGCGTCTGCAGGCGTGCGTTTGCGGGACACGTGTTCCTTCTTCCCGTGGATCTCGACTCCGAAGCCAGCTTTGCGATCCTTCCACGTCAACGAGTCAAACTTTTCCTTGTCATCTGTGGGATGCGACTGCGTATTGCAGTAGCAACGCGACGGTGCGTTGCGACGAATGACGACTGCCGAGCACAAAGTCCGGGTTCCTTGACGACGGTCCGCGCGTGTTCGAGAGATTCCTCCGCGGGTCGGCGATCGGCGGCGTTGGTGACGCGCAGTGACGCCGGGATCCTGCGCTTGCTATTGGCTGACGCGTAAAGAGATGCCCCTCCCGTTTTCCGGGGTCATCTCAGAAAGGGGGGCGTGCCGGGGACTTTGATAGCAATTTTAGTGGAGAAATCCGCCGCGCATGACCGTAATTTTACGATTTTTAGGATCCTTAGGGCCTGCAGATTGAGTTACCGCCATAAATAGACCATCGCAGAACGCTCCGGAGGGCCCCTTTAAGGTCCTTCCTTATGCAGACAATGTTGCTGCTTTTTGTGGGGTTCAATAAAGTGTGCGCGAAAGGGTCAATGTGGCCTTGTCCTCTTGGGAAAAGTCTGGTAGTCCGATTAACTGAGACAGATCTGCAGGTTTCTGGCATGGAGAGTGGGGTACTACATATAAACGCTTTACACACGCGCCAGATTACAGACGCCGTTGCCGACCTTCTATTGTCTTACCGAGATATCAAACCACTGAAGCGGGCTTTGGCGAGCCTCCACAAAGGCAAATGCTGGGGAAAAGGACACCGTCGTATCTAAAATGCCAGTAACCTGTCCTCCTGTGGTAATGATGGAACAGAGTGAAAAATATAAGCGAAAACAAAAACTGAAGGGTGGTTATGGCGGCGCCCATGCACAGCTGCTGTAAAGCGTCTATATTTATGAACATTCGGTGGACAGTCTTGCCGGCAAAGTTTTTTGGCATACCACTCGAACACTATCGTGACAACAAGCAATACTGGAATGAAGAGACAGAGAGAGTGAGAACGAAATCTGAAATTTGGAAATGGCTGGATTTCCCAATGTTAATGAGTGCTATCATATGCAATTTGTTTTTGACACCGAAAGCGTGGTATGTGTTGGGAGTTCTGGCTATGTCCCGTATCAACGTGCAGAAACTGCAAAGAGTAGGGTATTTGATGTATTTATATGGAGTTAGACCTGTAAGCGCTCATCACGCACGAATTTGTTTCTATCATTTCGAAGTGGCGGGCTGGGTTTATCACACTTGTATATTCGCCACATTGTGTAGAGCTGATAAGACTGCTGACTGGGCGAGTTGGTAGTTCATGTCGAATAACGTAACAGCGCGCAACTAGAGAAACACTCGCAAACTCAGACACACCAAAAAATATACACTCACTCGGCGCTGACTCACAACTCTTGGATTTGTATCGCGTAGACCTTCATTTTTCTTCGTAATCAAGAAGACTTCTTATGGCGTGCTCAAATTCAGGTCATACTGCAAAATATGTCCCGGAGTTTGTAGTTTCTTCAAGTGACGGTATTTGCAGGGGTGTTCAAGGTTTATTGCGTGAAGTTGTACTCTCCTTTCGAATGTTGAAACTGCGTTTTTCTATATAGTACCTTAGTTATGTGGCTCGGAAGAGATTGTACAAAGATTTAGTGGAAGTGTTGTTACCGTTCCCTTTGTATATATCACTGTACTCTAATGAGCCTGACCAGAATGTGCTCAAAGGGGTTAAAAAATGACGGTAAAACTAAGTGTTAAGTATTTTTTTAACTCCATTGCGATGTCCTATTTATTAAATTATGGATAAAAGGGAAAGGGTTGTCTGTCCCATGGTCAAGCAACTGTATTCTCTGTAAGAAACCAGAGACTGTGGAGCACGTATTCATAGAATGTTGGGATGCGGTGTTCCACTAGGACATCCTCCAGCGCACTCTTAAGAGCTCCCCTTGACCATACAATGCCATACATGACATTCGTTTTTTTTTTTGACAGTTGAGAACAACGTTGGAATAACCTACGTCATGTTCATGATCCTTAGTCTACACAGAATTTGGAAGACTAGGATTACCGTGCGTCATGCGGACGTGAACGTCCGCGCAATCAAAGACTATTTCATTGAAAGTGTCTCTTATATTCCTGATGTGTACCAAGCACAACGTAAACTCCCTGAGTGGATGTCGGTTTTGAATGAATTACTGCAGTTGAAGAGATTTTAATGTACTCGCGTTTGCCAAAGTAAGGCCGACGTGTTTAGGCCTTTTTTTAGGTTTGTTCATGTCAATGAAGGCAATAAACAAAACAAAAAGTGTCTGCGTTAACCAAAAAATAGCATGCAAAAAAAAAAAAAAAAAGCCTAGAGGGTAGCGTGTCTGGCTCGCGACCCACTAGGGAGGGTCTTGGGTTTGATCCCGCCTCCGCCTGAAATTCTTCGAATCTTCTTTAAGGCACTTGAAGTACTTATGAACTGGACGGGAACCCAGCGGCTGCAGTACGGTTTCGAACGCTCCTTCATTTTAGTTATTTTTAATTGTGGTGATAAATACATATTTCATTTTAAACCAGCAAACGTCTTTCAGTCACCAGATGTTCACTTTCTTTTGGCGTTATTAAGACAGGTATCATTCAAAATTTACAACATATAAGTTTTCTTTTCTTTTTCCCTTCGCGAGGCGTATGCATTTGGTGCAATCTAAAGAAGCACTTCATTGTTTTCCAGTCGAAATTTGCCCTTGCAGATCATACACCGGGTGCGGAAGAAAACACGGCACTAGCAGCCGAGGTGCCATCAAAGCGGGGAGCTCGTGATTATTCTCGCTTCTACCGTCCACGAGGTGAATTTTTTTTTTTTTTGATAAACAAGTTGTGCTAGTTTTCATTTTTCTTTCTCAGTACTGCATCGCTGTTTGTGTCTTTGTGTGCGTGGATTTACTATTCAAAATTAAATATGTAGGTTAATTTTGTAAATTTCAATGTCGATTAAGTGCTCCACTTAATTATTTGTGACTACATAAAATCAGAAGAAAAACCGATGGCGCAACTTTTGAACGAGGCATGGTTCTCCAAAGAAAATGTTAGATGTGTGAAAATTGAAGTGTAAACTTCCAGTTACTATTAAATTTATAAAAAGACATGTTGACAGTTGTCATCCGTCGTTATAGGCCATTCAGAGAAATGAGGCGGAAAGTCAGTGGTATCTGAAATAAAAATAGACAGATAGTTTCTAGTTGAACTTGACGGTAAACCTGTGACTGGGGTAGATCCAGGTGTAGTTGGTGAATCAGACCCAAGATTTTCTCGGTGGTGCTTCTTGATTAGGTCTAGGAATTGAACGTGCAGAACTTCAAAGTCAAGAAAACCACAATTTATTGTGCGTGCGTGTACACAGGAAGGTAGCCCTTTGAAATAAATTAAAATAAAACCACCGAAAAAAAGACTCGGAGAAAGGAAGAGAAATATGAAGGATGCCACGGCGAGGTGAACGAAAGCATGAACGGAATGGTCCTACTACCAACAACGACACGCGGCAGTTAGGTTAGTCTTGGCACGTTAAAGACATGGATAAACAGCCAACGAGACTACAACAGAGTACTCCGGATAACAGAACGACGCAAACCCACAGCGGGAACAAAGACGGATTCGCTCAACCTTTTACTTCCGTTGTTTGTTTAGCTCCGCCGAGGGAAACTGCCGCTCTCGTCGAAGCAACGGTTTTCGCGCTGGCAGTTTAAACTATAAAGAGTAGAGACCACACACAGAGACCACAAACACAACAGACAGACACGAGGTAAGAACGAACAGCACTGTCGAAGGAGTTCAAAGCACATACACGGTCACCGCAGAAGACGAGCAACAAAGGAGGGGGGGGGGGGGGGGGGACATATCACAGGAGTGTAGGGTGTAAAAAGGAAAGGGGTGAGGGTATAGTAGAGAAATGAGGAAGGAAACTTTACACAGCTGCCCTCGTTCACGGTGTTGCGGACGACGCGGGACATGTTTGATGCGAGGCAACCGTATACACATACGCGTGTATACGAGCTCACACAGGCGGTCACGGCTTGAAGCGGGGAAGCGTCGTAGGACAATACCACCCGGAAGATAAGGCCTGCTCATGACGTCATCGCCAGTGGATCCCCGAGTCGCCCCCAAGCGGCAAACACGCTGACACTCGACGAGAAAGTACGCCCAAAACGGCAGACGCGTCCGTCTTGGCGGCACCGCATGCTAGCGTCGAGCTCGATGTGAGATGTAGCAAGACGCGCTTGCGGCGACGCTGACGCGACCTAGGTGGCGCTGCCTGTTCTCCACTAGTGATGACGTTCGAGGGAAACGACGCAGGCCTCGTCTTCTAGGTGGTATCGCATACGTTCCAGCGGTTCATCTAGCCCCTGAAGCCCCCGGCCGCTGGACCAGGGTTGGCGAAGGCGGCCTCGGCTCCTGTCGGAGCGCTCGACTGGATGGTGACGTCGGCGGGGTTCTTGGACTCGGTTCCCAGCTCGTTGGTGACCACGTCGGCGTGGAAGCCGGTCTCGTCGGCGTAGTACGTGACGGTCCTGGTGCGACCGTCGGCGTCGGTCAGCGTGTACTTGCCCTGGACGCGGCCGTTGCTGTCTCCGCTCTGCTCGTGGGAGTGGCTACCATCTTCGAGTTGGGAGAGGTAGTTGAAGGCGTACGGGATCGGAGGGCCGTAGTTCTCTTCGAGACCCCGCTGAGCGGCCTGCAAGCGATGGACAGCGGAGAGCGTTTTGGGGGTGCGTCTCTGGGGAAGGCTGTCAGGTATGACACATAGTTCTCGTGGCAGATCGCCTCCGTGATGTGCCAGCTGTTTCCCCTTATTGTTCCTAATAACTTCCTCTACGACTGCAAAACTTCCTCGAGTGTAGGTTTCTTAGTCCGTTCGGATGGTCGACGGGTTTCGTTCAGGCCGACACGTCTAGATATATTTTACGCAGTTGCGGCTGGTCACCTGGCCACCGCCACGTCTCCGCTCGTGTGAGTAGATACGTGCAATCGCAAACCTGAAATGTTATCTTTGTCCGTCGCTGGCATGTACAGTTCTCACCAAACTTTCACGCAACTCGCGAACACAGTTTTATGATATGGGAACTCTATGCTGACGGCAGTCGAAGAACTGGTTCATGACGTAGCGCTCAAGAGTGCCCGAGCAGGGTACGACGCTCACTCAAAGTTGAAATCGTGGCAGAACAGTGGCCACCACTGCAATTTTATCGGCCGGACAATTTGCATTTACCGCCGCCTCTTCGAATGAAGTCCCGAAACCGTTAGTTATTCAATTAGCTGAATTAGGTTTCGAACTATAACTTCCGCGTTCAGTAGAAACACGATACTTACTAATTTGGTCATTTAATCACTGGCGGTTTGGAAGTCACCGCGAAGAGGTGGCGATAAGTGCAGAATGTCCCACTGGCAAAATAGCACTGTTGTCCCCCGATCCAGTCGCGATTTGACCTAGAACGAGCGACCTCGCCTTCTCGAGCCGTTGCATTGAGTTACGTCATCATGAAGTGGTTCCTCGGTTGCCTCTAACATAGCGCTCCCAAGCAGTTCGCGCGTTCCATATAAGTTTGGGGAGCACTGTACACCCACGGACAGCATGAGCTCAAACACCCGATTTGGACTTGTTCAGTGTCGTCGGTCTCCATAAGCTCTGTTTTCTCTCCATTTGTCAGAACGTCCGAAATATGGGAGCTCAACTTCACCTTCCATTTGGAGTTCAGATCAGAGCCCTCTAAAAGAAACCGGCATGTACAGTCGCCGGCCATATGAGCTCCCCCGGCCGAACGCCGACCGGAGCAGCGAAAATCCCGCATGCGGTGCGTCGAGCGTTGCCGCGTTCTGGGAGCTGGGCTATTTGCACCAAACCATTCCGTTATCAAAGGGGTGGACGCAGGAAGTTTAATAGCATTCCGCGTTTTGGAACGTGAATCTGAAGCACCGCCAATTACAAACCCGCTTCTGGTTGTAGGTAAACACAGACGGCTTATCGAAATTCTTCATTGCATAATATCTTTGACGTGTCATATGCTACTTTTTTATTTCCAAAACCGGTTTGTCATTTTAAATATTCATGCCTAATATCATATCAAACATAGGGTTTTTACATTTGTAAGCATCGATCGAAAACTGCGACTTTATCTACGCCTAAAGCAAGCTCCAGTTTATCAGCAGTTATAACATCATCTCCGAACACTTGGGGCCAACACCCGAAGACGGCAATTCTAATCGGCCATGTTTTTGTGATTCACATTTCTAAAGGCTGGAATCCCGATAAAATCTATGCGTCCACCCCTTTGATAACGGAATGGTTGGTCCCAATAGCCCGGCTCCCAAAACGTGGCAACGCTCGACGCGCCTCGTGCAGGATTTTTCCTGATCCGGTCGGCGTTCGGCCGGGGGAGCTCATATGGCCGGCGACTGTACATCAATGTAGCCTGAAGGAGTGTTCGAACTCATATTGTCCGCGATAGTACTTGCACGAATAGTGCACAAGCGGACAAGCTGAACACGCCAAGGAATAACTTTCAGTGGCAATTTGTAAGAAGTGAAGAGTGCGCCTGCATGGTGTTGATCGCTGTCAGAGGTGTTCAAACGTGTACGCTATCATAGCTTTGACTGAATTGTTACAAGCTGAATATTATGAAGCCACGCCCATCGCGAAATGCCTGGGGTAATCCAATCTCAGATGACCAATAGAATTGCATGAACTCCGACATTTAGGGGGGAAAAAAACGAGAATAAAATTAAGCTCTTTGTCACGGTAAAACTCCCTTCTTTTAGCTATAGGGTGCCTTTGGCAATACACAATTTCGGTTTTATATCAGATACAGCTCGAGTATAAAAAAAATTGGGTTGTGTGGTATGTTTATACAGCCTAGAACTTGGTCTGCCTCACCGGGGCGACGAGTCTCCCAGCTGTAGATGTGCAATTTAGACAGTGCAGCACAACCGCTAGCCTGGGGTCTTTAACGTGCACCACGCAGTAGTGATACACGACCGCACGCCGGTACGATGCTCATCCAGATCGAAACGGTCAGGGGTGGGGATTGAACCCAGGTTCCCTGGGTTCTGCAGCGCGAGCTTTCGCTTCACGTGCTCCGAGCTGGTGTACGCTAGCCCACTCGGCCACTGATCCCCCCAGCTCGAGGATAAAACATATATACACAGTCCTTTTTGGCAGTAAGGATTTAAAGGGGCGAGCAACGATTTTTGTACTTTGCGCAAATATCGCTTAGAACGAATCCTTCCGCGTTCGTTTTTCACCCTACGCAAAAAAGTCGTAGAAAAAAAATAAAGAAAAACGAACAGCGTTCACCCCCTCAACTCGCAGCCAGAAAAGGTTGCCACGTGATCTGGAACCGATTATAGGCCGCCAATGTTGATCATAGTCACGCGCTGGGGTTGGCAAGGCACAGGACACGCGCTAAGTTCCAAACATTCTTATGGTTCGGCTATTGTCGTCATTGCAGCGATCAGACACGGGTCACTACCCGAATGCTTATCGAGCCAACGATTATCACGAGCCAAAATCGAGTGCGCACGCAATTCTCAGGTTCAATCTTGATCTGGATTGGCATCGTACCGGCATGCGGTTGTGTATCACTAATGTGTGGTGCATGTTAAAGACCCCAGGTTGGCAGTCGTACTCCACCGGCTAAATTGCTCATCTGCAGTGGGTAACAATGTCGCCATGTTCTGGCAGACTAACCTCCTGCTGTATAAGTCAACTAATGACTAATTTGACTTTGACTATGACAGGTTCAATCTATGAACCGCATTCAAATATCGTTACTGGGGGGTATTGCGATCCCCTAGTTACGTCATCAAGTTTCGCGAAGGAGAGATTGAATGCAAACGCTCGCTTTTGTCCTTGAAATTACACCGTAACAAAGAAGTTTCTTGGCCAGTGGCATTGCGCGAGACTATACTTGGGTCCCACTATACTGCCAGTAAGCGCATGTAAAGTTAAAGCATTCCAATTGAATATTGTTGCACCGCCCTTTAAAGGCAAAGGCAACAAAACCGAAAGCTAAATATGTAGGCGCTGTATAAATTGCACGAATGTTCGCTCTCCGGACACATTTTTTAGATCAGATTAAGCAGTCGTGCTGGAAAATTTTTTACAAACAAACATACTTGACAGCTTTTCTTCAGAAATCTTCTTCATAAGCCAATTTGGAAGCAGTGTTACGGCTGTATTAACAAAAATATATTTGTTGCAATATCATGGCAGGATTGACAAATACAAATTTTATAGTGCATTTCGTTTGTACCACAGTTTCAAAAACAATTGAAAGACTGTTTCGCACTCTTTGTCATATCTAAAGTATGCTTAGAGAAGTTCTTCAGTAAATAGTATTGGATTTCGTGCGGGGCTATTAACGTTATTATTTTCGGGTTTTGCAAAAGACGGTATCGGTCAGCAAGAAAAAATTAGCAAATCGTACTTACGGCAACGCAGATGCAAGCCACGAGTACTGCGATCTGCAATATAAAAATAAATCTCAGCATGGTTAGAAGCTCAGGCATAGTGAAGCATAAAAAAGAAGGCTGCTTCATAGAAATCTACACAGATCTAGCTTTACCATAACGGAAATATGAAATAGGAGATATACAAAAATGCTTAGATGAAACCGGCTTGGGACCAGTCACGCTGTTTGTAAACAGTTTTTTTTCTCTCTCGTTTTTCTCAAAATTGTGTTTGTTGGAAAATAAAGGAATTATTATCAAGTTAAGGTAATTTATGGTTCCTCTGAAGCGCAGACGCCATGGAACATTAAATGTTCAACAACATACATTTGTAAATTTATAGTTATCCTTTGTCTATCCATGGACAAATCTGAATCGCCAAGTAAATATCTAATTGTTATTTTTTTTGTCGTTATAACTGCGAGCTACTGTCAGGAAAATTAAAAAAATAACTGGATAAATAGCGGCTGTGTATTTTTCGATGCACGATGAACGTTACATATATAACCTGCGTCAAAAAACTCCCGTCACACTCATTAGGAACGCGTAATCGTTGAGCCTATGTATATTTCTCGCACATTTGAACATTGACATTTCAGGCTCGTCGTGATCGACGAAAGAATTAAAAAAAGAAACGAAGCGGTTCTTAAAACAATACAAAAAGAAACGCGAAACAGAGTATCCGTTCCAGCTTAGCTCCTCCTAACTCTCGTAAGCGACAAAATAAGCATATCCTAAAATAAACTCGGCGCTAGGTCGATGCAGGGTCGTAATCCGAGTGGAGGAGGATCAAAACTGCGAAGCCGTCCTCCGAGCGTTCGACTGGACGAGTCGGTGCAGCGCGGAGGGGTAGGCGTCCGCGAAGTCGACGACCGCCGAACCTCCAGCTCACCTTGTACATGTTGAAGGGTCTTGGAGGTAGGTTGCTTCCAAGAGGCAGTAGGTATAACCAGTGAAAGATGTTGCGAGCTGTGGGTGCCTCCGCTCATCTCAGTTTTATAGCGGCTCTGGCGAGCACCTCGCAGGCGACGCCGGCCAATCGGAGACCGCTGTCCTACATTGCCCAACTCCGCTGCCGGCGGGAAGCTCCGTGCACACACGAAAACTGCCCCCTCTTCCTTCCATAACAACAATAACAGCTACTTATTTTTGTTTGCTTTTTTCTTCTTTGGCGCGAATGCACGAGCACGACGAAGAAGCTGAAGCAAGCAACGACGGCGGTGACGTCGGAAGAGAGGAGGACGAGACAAACTGTTGCTTCGGGCTCCGTCTTCTCCGGGATGAAAGTATATCCCACAGCCGCAGCTGGGAAACCCGTTGGAGCCGAACGCTATCTTCCGCCCAGCGAGGAACCACCGGTGAAAGTGAGACGGGAAGAGAGAAAGAGAAAGGGGTCTTCCTGGGGCGCACGACCATCCGTCCTGTTCGTTTTATTTGTGCGTGGTTTCTCGTTATTTAACGTACGATTAAAATGTCAAATGAGGCAAACCCGGCTTCCCCTCGCCACGTGAATAAACGGTGTACGATTTGAACACGCGTTGGGTTCGATTGCTCAGCATTGCTTTACAGGATTATTGCATTTATCTTCGGTGGTAGGCCACCTACGTGCACAAGGGTCGTTCGAAGTTGACCACGACCTTTATCCGTGAGAAATCGATGAACTAGCTGCGCACGATGGAACTTGCGGGGGACGCTAGCGCAACTCTTTTTGAATATCCCATTCACACGATGACGTATCTGAGGCATGCTCTGCAAGTTCCATCTATCATGAAGGAAAAGGGGGGGGAGCGATGTGTCTGTGGTGCAACGGCGCATAATTAAATTTGCGGCGAAGAAGAAAGTTCGATTATACGCCGTTTCACATTAAGAAACTTGCAGCCAGCCCTACTATTCGATAGCTAATGAAGCTTCGTCACGCGCTCGTCGTCTTTTGCATGTTTTCTATCAACGGCTTATAAACCAACGGCAAAGAAAGCGTAGGATCATAAAGTATACGCTCTACGTAATAAAAATAAGAAGAAAAGAACACGCACAAAGGCGGCGAGCGTTGCGACGATGCACTTTTGACGCTGCATGTCGAATTGTAGCGTCGGTTACGGTTTGACTTTGAGTGAAACGGAGTATAGCTGAAAATTTGACAAGATTGCCATTGTGTTCGTGACATCGAATGACGATGTCACGAACAAGAGTGTTCGAACGGTGTCAGGGGTTTGACGAAGCACGACAGCCGGTGACGGATGAACAGCATGTACACGTTCGTACGTTCGTGCGACTGCATTCAAGCAACCTAAACTTTTTTTACGCAAAAAAATACACACACAAAAAAGAGACATAGGCGCTGCCAAAACGACGGCAAAAAGCAAACATAGTTTCATGCTGGTCGTTTTTTTTTTTTTTCATTTTCTTTGCAGGAATGAGGGTACCGGTCAAATTTGGACGATTGATAATACAAAATGATGGCAGAAATTATTTTGTTCGCGAAATGAAATAGACAGGATTTATTTTATTTACATTTACATGTTTTGTAAATATAAATAAAATCATTACCGTGTTTTGCATGACGTAAGCGGAAACAAGAAATTGAAGAGCACTTAAATCGTCTTCACTTAGCCTCCAAGATCACGAATATCGAGATTCTTTTTTTTTTTTTTTTTTTTTCAATTTGGTGCGCGGGGGCTGCAGAAAACCTCCTTCCCGGAGCATGACGTCATATCAGGAGTTTTCGCAATCTTCACTTTCGCGCATCTTCAGCGCCTATCAAAGCTATGCACGCGCACTCTCGCTATTTTCAAGAAAAGGTCACAGAAAGACGTCACGACAGGTGACAGTGAAGGGGAGTATTCGCGGCGAGGAGTTCGGGTATCGCCGCCTGGTGGATTTTTTTCACAACCCAGAGTGAGGATATTTCAACTTCCTTTGCTGTCGCTGACGAATGGGCTATACTCAGTGTCACTACTTGCGTGCAGTACAGGCGAAGGCAGCGCCAGGCGAGGGGATAGAGAGCAAGCACTAAAAAGGCTGGGAAGGAGGAGATAAACCTCCACTGCTCTCTAACGTTCCTAGTGCTCTCCCTTTCTGCCCTGGCCCTCCATTGCCCTCCTCTCCCGAACCGCCTTCCTAGTGCTCTCCCTTTCTCTCTTCCGCTGGAGTTGCCTCCGCCTGCACCGCACACAACTAGTGACACGGAGTATAGTTGGTAGTTCACTCCTCCGCTGGTGCAAGCACGTGCAACGCCATGTTTTTATGCAGTATGAAAGTTAAAACATAACCGCGTGAGTAGCACGTGCACAAACCATAGTGAGGAAAACAGAACCGCCCCCAGCGAGCGACACGCGCTTGGCGACAAAAAAGATTCTAGTACGACATAACCACATGGTCGGAAGTCTTTTTGTGTTTTTTTGTCGTTTAGTTACATCATCGGGGAAAACCAACGTGATATTCAGCAGATTCACAGGATAAAAATACTCTAAAATTCACCTGTAAGTTTCTTTTTTTTTTTTTTTTCAAGAACCCTTTTAGCTTTCTTTTGAGTTACATCATTTAAAGTGAAATGATTTTTCTCTCCAGTCGTTGTCACCTGAAGAAAAGATCCGGTTTTACAACTTGTCCATACGCCACGGCAAGTCCTTCTTACAAACTTTGGTTGTTCGGGGACGGAATGATGATTTCGGCCTTTTTAACATGTATGACTTGATGAAATAGCATACAGCTAATCTGAAATGCACCCACGCACATCTTAATGCATTCCCTAAAGGGAAAAGTTAATAACGCTCCGCGTTTATTATTATTTCTTTTTTACCTTGAGGTGAGTTTTATCGTATTTTTTTAAATATGGCAGATTAAGTTTTTAGTGCGCTTAATCACCAAGAACAGCGTGGGAAGATAAATTGACCCTATACGCAAATATACAGTTGAATGTACAACTTTTTATTCTTGATTTCAACTATATCACGCATTCGGCTCAGAGACTGCTTGAATTTTTTATAATTAGCAAAAGCACTTAATTTGCCCTAATACGCAAAAAAAATATATATATATTAGCCACCTTAGAGTTTAAATATATGAAAACCTAAGGAAAACAGTTCCCGACCATTTCTTAACCTTCTTCTCTTGAAGTCTGGGGAGCGGCCTTTCTAAATAGAAAGATAAGCAAAAATAAATAATTGTAATGTCGGTGTTAGTTTAGGAAGTGAGCACGTCGGAAGAATTACACATTACCGGAAGAATTAACACAGTCGGGTCCGTCCCTGTGTTTATTATTCCAGAAATCTGTAGGTCGGGAGTTATTTTGTGCTACAGCGTGGATACTGAACCCAGGCGTACAAGGTATATTATGCATCACCGGTTGAAATGTCATTTGAGTCGCAGAAAGGGAGTGGAATAGGTTTGTGAACTCTGCTCTGGTATGCGTTTTCGAAAATAAAAGTATACCAGAGCCCATTAAAGCTATATCCTGACCGCGCTCTCGAGAGTTTATGAACATAAGGTGCGTTGTCGGTCTTGAAACTGAAAGACTGAATAGGTGCCAGAGCTGCGTGTTTATTTTCAAACATCGTGTTTATCAGGCATGCTTAATTATTCACGTGAAATGTAAAGAAAATAAGACATCGTGAATTTGCTTTATTGTTGAGGATGATCAGGGGTATATTTAGTGTAGGCACAGGTACTCATTATCGCTAAAACAAACCTAGAAATAGACCCCAATTTTTTTGCGAAGCTATATAATGCTTATTTTTGTATAATTTAAAAATTTGTTGCACACGCCACTGCCCCCCCCCCCCCTTCCCGCCTCCCCCTTCCCCATGTATGCTGCTGATATATTGTTTTGCTCTCCATCCCATCAATGATAGTATACACCCTAGGCCTAGCAAACATCCACGGAATATAGTGTAGCGAAAGTTGCCATTCGCGATGACTAAAATGATAAGCTTTTGCATAAAAAAAATCATGTAATCGTGCTTTATCTCAATGCACCGGCACATATTAAAGTGAGTGGCTGACCTAATTGTTTTTTCTAAGTAGAAATACAGCCAATCACTAAAACAAAAAGGCCAAAATTGTTTGTTCTTTTGTTCCGCCAAAGAATAGATAACCAGGAGTGGCGATGGCATTATTAAACACACTGTGGACCAGTACTTCTTGAACTTTGGGACGCCGAAGAGCCCCTTAGCTATGTTAAAGGTCATTCGCGGTTGCTCATTTACTACCTACATACGGTATCAGCGTGTTGCACTCATCGGGAATTGATATCGCCATAAATAGAAGGAAGAGGAAGTCAGCAATCCGGACGAGTATAAATAACATTTACGTAATGTCTTTGACATCCTGCGGACGAGCCCAGCTAAAGCGGTCTCGCAGCGGAAATACGAGATGGGAACATGTATCCCGGCGCTTTGCCCCAAGAAAGGCTATAATAAAAAATGCCCACTTGCGCGCACTGTGACTCGTAAGAACACTACTCTACGAAGATGTTCTGTCCAATGATTTCAACCCTCTTCGATGCCTCGCTACAGTTACCTATCACCAGTGGCGCAATCTCCAAATTAGTATACCCCCCCCCCCCTTTTTTTAAATAAAGAAAATAAAAAAAAATTCCTCGAACCCCTGGGACTTAACTGACCATTTTGGAAACCGCTGTTCTCGAATATAATACGCTGACGATCGGCCGACTTATGTCGCATGAAAGAGTAAGAGATATGACAGATGCAAAATCGCCTCACACTGTGCCTTCTCTACAACGTACAGCGATAACAATTTGATTACGGTTTTCTTCCCACATAATGAGAACTCATTCTACGCAAGACTATTGTCTAGTTGTATTCTCAAAAGCTTACAAATCTCAGCAATTAGCTTTGCATACTCGCACCGATAATTAAAAGACCTTGGGCCCATCTGTAGTGATGTGAAGAACCCCTAGCGTTGTTGTCGAGAGGACCTTTTCGTGTTCTTCAGGAAAATGCTAAATTACATCTAAGCTATATACCATGCGGAAACGTTTTATCGCTTAGCATTGATGAGCAAGGTGTTTGTTTGTATATGCCGAACGTGTAAATAAAATATTGAAGGTACTATAGTAGAAGGCGTGGAAAATGTGTCATAACAGCGTGGAATATTTTGGGGCACAAAGCGCTGTCATGAAGAACGCAGTTATATAACGTGTGCTTGCCGTCACAAGCTTATTGTGTTTTGTTTGAGAACGACGGCTATCAACCGTGTAAACGACCTTTGACAGCAAGTATAAGTCCGTGCAAAACGCTATTACGGTTGTTAATGTCGAAGGCTCGCTTGATATTAGTAAGCACCGATACTAAAATGTTGTCTAAACTTTTTTGTTGTTGTTGTTGGACTGTAGCTTCACTTATACTAACAATGCCTGGCCGACTTCTGGCTTCCCCGTGCTATGGCGCCGTTGCGCCTGCTTCACATATTCACCGACAGGGGCGCCACCTGCCCATACAAAGAAGACAAGGCTTGTCCGCTGCGCACCGCTACTACCGCAACGGACGTGATTCTAATGCTTTCGGAAAGCATGTTTCATAGCGGGTGAGAAGCAACATATGTAGTTTCCAAAATTGAATAAATGTATTGGACGGTAGGTACGACCCAACACAAATTACATACCAAAGAGGCAAGCAGGTAAACTTTCACAATGCCAAAACAGCGAATACCAAGTTTTTATTGCTGACGTACAGGACCAGACAAAAATCAGAAGGTGAAGAGGAATCGCAACGGCCTCGGTCCTCTATGATTACAACGGCTACGAAGTCCATTAAGCGATGTAGAAGATGTTAGCTTTGACGATGCTTGTGTTCGGTAATGATGTACTGTGTTGTCGTCAGGCGCCCATCACAACCTCTAGGTGCGCGAGCAAGAGCTGGGCGGGACTGCCAGTCAAGCAGCACCGAGAGAGGCAGTGGAGGGTATACGTGGGCTGATCTAGAATTAGATGACAGAGAGAACTGAACCATGGTGGGCTTTAAGTGAAGCCACGGCAACATGCGGAGGTTTCAATCAAACGGACATTAAAAAAGGCCCGACTAGACAGGCCTTTCTTAATATCCGTCAAAAAACATCTCCCGACAACATAGTCTTGAGTAGCACGAGGTAGGATTTGGGACGTAGTCTTTCCTCAAAATAAGCTTCAGTCCCTTTTTACGGTCCCGGGCGTTTTTTGGGGTTTTGAGAAATGACAGCCCGGCTGTGTTCTTTTGTGTGTCTGCCTAAAACGCAAAAAAAAAAAATGAATGATGAAAAAAAAATCTAATTGCCTAAGTGCGACCCACAGCTACCACCCCATACCCAAAACAGCACCAAGAATGGAAGAACGTACGAGAGAGGCTTAACCACGTCGTCCACGTCGTTCATATTTACTGTCGCGTATGGGAAAGTGGCGCACCCCTGTGGTGACACCTAGCAACCGGCGATCGGGCCGGTATTATTAGTATACAGGAGGTCATGATTGGACGCTAGTGACTAGGCCCAATACAGAGTCCATGCTACACCTGCGCCTTGTAAAATTTGCAAATTGTTGCGCAAAAGCTTAGGACGATGCGTTAGTCCATCATAATAACATTTCGCTTATATTTTCCTCTCTGGATTTTGCCATATTGATAGTCAGGTGAACCTGTTCACATATTCCAAAAGAGGTTTGACCATTTTATGGTCTCAAAAGAGTGCTTGCAAGTGCGAGTTTTGCCATTCCCCATTGAACAGCTGAATAAGTAAGATTGTGACCTTCGATAAAGATTTACTCGTAATTTTACCCGGTTTCTCCGAAATATTTTGCCGCAAACGTTTCAGCGCTTCGTGAAATAAATATATCCTGCATTGTCGGTAAAACAATGAATCTTTTGGGAAAAAAGGTATTGCTAACCGTATGGGCGCTTGGATTCGAACAATGTAAAGATCTCCGAGGTGAGTGCCCCCGCTGCAGGTCGTGTTAGCAGCCCACAAAGTTTACCACCAACGTGGACCTCGGAAATATTGCGCAATTCTTCCGATGTTCTTATCGGACAACATTCAGTTACAGTGGTCCGAAACACTCCAAAGGGCGATTCACACAGTTGCGTTGAGTCGGACCGAGTGCGACCACAACGGCTTGCAACGTGAATCCTTTCACGGGTTGCTATGGCAACAGCTGTGTCGGTTCCAACAAAGCAGGTTTTTACCCCATTTCGTCAGAGCCGACGCAGCTGTTGACATACCAACCCGTGAAAGGATTCACGTCGCAAGCCGTTGCAGTCGCACTCAGTTTGACTCACACAAGTGTATAAACCAAGCTCCGAATAGGGAGAAAGGGCGTCAATGTGTAGCAGTCATGTCACCAGCTATGTAGTGCAATTTTTTGTAGCTTCCCACGCATACACATGCGTGCGTGCTTTCTCTCTCCGAATAGTGCTTCGACTCACCTGTTTTTTCACATTCTTGTTTTGATCTTCGTGTAACAGCTTTCGGGTGTTAGTATGTATTGTAAACTCCACTGCTTCCGCGTGTAATCGGTAGAGCACGTGTTGATCTTTTCAGGTTTCAACGAAATATAGCAGGAAAGCTGTCAATTGTCAACACCCCCTGTACTCAAGAGTTACTATGTCTTTTCAATGTGTGACCGGAGCCTGAGGTTTCTGTGAAGAACGTAACAACATCCGGTGGTAGTTAGAATTGGAGAACGCCCGCTTCATCTTGCGTCCATGTCCGTTCACCAATACCTTCGAGATTATCCGTCGAGGAGAGAGAAGCTTCGAGGAGCGTTGAATGAACTACGTTCAAGCATATGTAATCGTGTGGACCTAAGGTACTCACAGTAATTGTTAATTTGAACGTCCCAACAATCAGTTTAAAAAAAAGGGTTATAAGCGCTCGAGTCCCTACAGACAAGACTATCCTAGTTTGTGTATCATCGATGAAATTTCAGTAAAAATTGCAGGCTCAAGTGGTTTTGCTGTACACACTTGCAAAAGGTACACGTATACCTGCCTCGTATTTTACGCCACTGTCAGATAGTCAGGATAATCACGCTTTATTGCGCTCGTTCTTACACAGGGACTGGTAGGTCAATACAATAAAAACTAAACTTGCAATGTGAGACAAACAATGAAGAATCAAAGACGAGGTGAAATAAAACATGAAAGAAATACTCCTGCCACCAACACAATGCACTTAGCTGCTGTATCCATCTTGGCAGGTGAGAGATATGGGAACCGGAAAGAGAGGCCACCGAGCTCCCAAGGTACATCGCATGTAAAAACAACACAAACCCTCAAAAGAGACGACTGCGGAGGCATAATAATTATTTTCTCATGTTCTTTGTCTACCTCCCCCGATAACGAGCAGCTACTTCGGCCGAACAATAAAACCGTTTTCGCGCTGATGTTTAAGCAACATAAATAGAAATCACGCAGAAAACAATACGACGAAAAGAAAACACAAGGTAAGAACCTACCGCGCTTACAAAGACCGAAGCACATCCAACGGTAGATTGTCACAGCAGACGAAGAGTAAAAGGTGGGAACACATAACCAGGAAGGGAAGATGTAGAAGGAGAAGGGATGGTGTAGGGAGGAGAAAGGCAACTTTACAGAGCACCATCGTCCAAGGCGCTGCAGACGATGCCGTACAGCTTCGAGCCGAAGCGCTCGTATATGCGCGTGTATAGGACCGCACACAGGCGTAGTGATTTGAAGCGGCGAAGCGTCGCAGGGTCTAGCGGTTCATCTAGCCCCTTAAGCCTACGGGCGCTGGTCAGCCGCGGAATCGGTTGGGCTCGTTGGCGATGGCGGCCTCGGGTCCAGTAGGAGCGCTTGACCGGATGACGACGTCGGCGGGATTCTTAGACTCTGTTCCCAGCTCGTTGGTGATCACTTCGGCGTGGAAGCCACTTGCGTCGGCGTAATACGTGACGGTCCTTGAGCGACCGTCGGCGTCGGTCAGCGTGTACTTGCCCTGCACACGGCCGCTACCGTCTCCACTCTGCTCGTGGGAATGACTCCCGTCCTGGAGTTGGGAGAGGTAGTTGAAGGCGTACGGGATCGGAGGGCCGTAGTTCTCTTCGAAACCCCGCTGTGCGGCCTGGAAGAAATGGACAACAAGAAGGGCTTTAGGGAAGACGCATGAAGAATTATGAAGCCGATCATTCTTGACCTCCCGTGTACGACGTAGTTCTAGTGGTAGATTGCCTTCATTGTGTTCATAGCTGTACAACCCCAGTTTCTATAACAACGTGTTCTACATGTGCGGAATCACTCAAGTATTGGTGGTTTAGTCGCTACAAAAGTTTCTCGTGATCAGCGTAAAGCGCCAAGGCTAATGATCTTTTACAGAGGGAATCTTTCCGAAATCTCATCGAGGAACACTAGAAACCGCCATTTCTTGGTCACGTAGCGCGTGATCGCATTAGTGTCCTCGTCGAACGCACATGTTCTCGACACAAGCTGAGCAGAGTTCACGTCAGTCTCTGAAGCAGCCCTCCAATCCAATAGATGCCTATGCCTCGTGTCCAAACAATAACATACTCGTATGATTGGTGCAGCACTGCAGCGACTAGACGACGCACACTTCCTACAAGAGTCTATTGCGGCAGGTTATCTTGCTGTCGACATGCGTTTACTTCATTTAGCGGGAACGTGCAATGGCGAGCCTAAGCGTTACCTTGTACGGCTGTGGTGCGTGATCACACTTAAGAAAACGCGAATACGGTTTTGATCGGCGTCTGAGGTGTTCGAGCGTTCAAACGCCCATAGCTTTTCCTACACTGCCATAAAAAAGTGAATATTAGCGAGCCACGTAAATCCTGCAATATTTGGGATGTTCCAGATTTGATGACCAATAAAAGAATATAGATCTCGATATGTTTTAAAGGTTTAATTGTAAATGAATTCAAATAACGTCTCCGTTGCGCAAAAGCAAGAAAACATTTTTTTATTTAGCGGTAAGTTGCTTTTGGAAATCCGAGATCGGTTATGCATGATGAAACACTATTATGCACTAATACGCCCTTCTCTGGTTGTAACTACATGAAGATCTTTTTTTTCTTTTTTTCTCTTTTTTTTCATGTCATCGAGATATCAGGGCAAAGGCCAGAAATATAAACTCTGTATATTTTAACGCTGTATAAACTATACATTATTTCGATTTCCATCGGCATCATCTAGATACAAATGCGCAGTTGTGCTGGCAGATGTTATGTACCAGATTGCCTTTGCTAAAACGCTGAAACGCTCGAAACGTAACGCTGTAAAATTCGCTACCTCACACCAGCAATGAAGCGTAAGAGGTAGTAACTTGTAATCTTTCATCAATGTGAAACGTTTTGTGTCAGCGAAGCTGAAAGTAAACTACCCGCACAGAACAGCAATTGAGAACTATTATAGTTACTCTTAACTAATATTCACGGTTTATTTCCATGAGTGGTCCTATCCAATGCCATCCCTTCTTCGTTTCAGCTTAAGTTCAGACGCAGCGAATCCTACGAGCTGATGGTACCAATCAGCCAGCGTCAGAAAAGCACCATCATGGCGTTGGTCATGTTTCTGTACGTGTTTTATCCTTTCTGAACCAATCACAGAAAAAGTATAGTAACCCGGCGCTAACTCGGAAATAGACCGATCCCACTATACTTTACTTCACCTTATGATGTACCGCAGGAAAGGCTACGAGCGCGAGCTCCTTGCTCTAGGTCGAATCTCGGCCGCACAAGCTCTCGTGTATTAAGGGCAGCTGTCTACGCTATGAGCTCGCGCTTCTAGCCTTCGCTGCGGTACAACATAAGGTGAAACGGAGTATAGGCGTTCCACGCACGCGTGACGCCGCCATAACTGTAGTTCACACTGGACAGGTGCCAGTGCACGAGATGGTTCGTGTCGTGTCGTCGCGCGTGCAGAAAGACTACAGTTTCCATGATCCAGGCCGGCAGCGGCGGTTTGACGAAACTAGCTATACTTCGTCTCACCTTAGCATGGACTATTGTTAGCCGCGCATGCTAAAAGTGCGAGCTGTTTGCTTTGGATCACGCTTGGGCTGCTGCACAGGCGCTCGTGCAGTGGGTGCTCCAGTCAAGTCAGTCGAGGCTACCCGCTCGCGCTTATACAGCCTTCGCAGTTAGTCCATGCTAAGGCAAGACGAAGTATAGACCTTTCCAGAAAAGGGCTGCTGGCCAGTTTTATTTTCAGTGTTCGTGCGTATCGCGCGTGATTTGCTCGCTTTCCGAAGCGACGCACACGCGCGTGCTGAGCTGTGGAGATCGCACGCTGAGCTGTGGATTTGTAAACATTGGAAAGGTCTATAGGAGGTATTCACTGGACGCCATATTTGAGGGCGATGTTTAGAGCGCATGCTCAGAACGAGCTCACATTACTAGCCTGCTAAGACCGGCATCCTTGATGGTGCTAAATGCACGCCCCAAAAGGACTCCGGAAGCTCGCCGTCAGCACGAGCTCAGCAGCAGCGCGCACGGATATGGCCGCCAGTGAATACTCCCTATAGTGAGTTCGCAGTTAGTCCATGCTAAGGTAAGACGAAAGGCCCGAGTTCGACAGCGGGCGTTCTTTAGACGCGCTGATTGAACACAATGACCAGCCGAGCGCTTACACAGCGCTCGTAAACAAATTGCCTCTGCGCCCGATCACCCTGCGATGACGTCGAAATTCTAGTGCATGGGCATTTACTTTGATGATTCTAGACGATGTTGGCTTATTCCAGAGATCCTGTGAATCGCGCTAATATTTTTTAATAAACACGAGCAACGTCAACCTGCGCAAACACCTTTGTTGTGATGGTTGTGTCACAGGATGTGACAAAGACATAACGCGGAGGGCGTTTGTTTCCCATAAAAGATTTCAGGACTGCGACAATGTTTGTGAACCTCGTCGCAGTCCTGAAATAAAGGTGCTTCATACTCCAAAGCATAGGCTTACAGGATTTCCACCAGAAGCAGTATCGGAGTGTGTGCGACGTTGTTAGCCCGGGCATTCTTAGCTTCCAAACAATGGTGCTTCGTCGCCTGGGGGTAATTCAACAAAGAGTACTTACGGCAACGCAGAGGCAACCCACGAGAAATGCGACCTGAAAAAAAAAAAAAAAAAAAAAAGTCAGAATGTGTTTTGAAACGGCCCAGGCGTAGTCCAAAATAAAAATAAATCGACATTTTTTATAAAATGCCCCACAGGTCTCGCTCAAAACGAGCAGAAATTGAAAGCAGGATAAGTTGTTCTCAATGATAGAGACTTGGACGAGTATCGACAGTAAGTGAAGATAATTTATGATATGTCAAAGCACATATTCCATAAAACTCTTGACCACTCTAAAAGCTTTCAGCCTGTCTACTCTGGTGAAGAAGGAAGACCAGAGAAGCTGTATTATGGGGGGAATGAAGTAATGGCCGGCCGCAAATTGGCAAGTCAGAGTGGAAAGGCTGGGAAGGTGGCCGCCATCTATGAGCGACGGCGGAAACCAGACAACCGGCAAGCCGATTGTTTGGTTGCCGCCGTCGCTTATTTCTTTGCGAGGCTCTCGGGAGAGCTAATTGCTGCAACCAACGAAAAGAGCTCTTTGAATGACTGGGGTGAAAAACATGTTTAGAACGGAAAAACACTTTTGGGTTTGAAGACTGAGCAAGATTTAATCACATGGAACGTCATGCCCGGTATCACAATGCAGACTATTTTTTTAGGCCCACGCACATTTTCAGCTTAGTCATTCCCCAAGTTTCCCCTATGGACTGCAATGATTGGCTCTCCAAAATGTCTAGCGCTAATTGCGCTAAAGTAAATGCTCAAGATTTCCAATAGCGTATTCCGCAGACTTGGGCGATCTACATTAAAAAAAGTAATTCTTTACAGTTACAGTTACTTTCAGAAAAAAAATCTAGCGTAATTATCATTATGGTTGACTCAAAGGAAAAAAGTAACTCATTACGGTTCAAGTTACTTTAAAAAAAGTAACGGCGTTATATTTTGGTTCCTTTTACATAACATAACGAATCAATAAAAATAGAACCCCTTCTTACGTTTATTGCATGAGGCCAGTAAAGTTGGCTCAAGGCGAAAATGGCGTTCGAAATGTCGAAAAACATCACAAGAAAAGTTCAAGGAAAGACTAGATTTTACTCGTTCAATCATATATTGTACCTAGCCGCACTAGCGCTCTTAACTCTCATTAAGCCAACTTGACGCAATCGCGATCGGCCGTAGTCAGCCAATGTACGGCTCTGGCCGGAGTTACACGGCGGCGCCAACAGTCCTTGAGCCGCTAACGATCATTGAGTTCAGCTGAGCTGGCCAACCTCAGTTTCTCTATTTCACCTTATGATGTACCGCAGGAAAGGCTACAAAACGCGAGCTCCTTTCTCTAGGGCAGATCTCGGCGGCACAAGCTCTTGTGCATTAAGGGCAGCTGCCAACGCTATGAGCTCGCGCTTCTAGCCTTTGCTGCGGTACAACATAAGGTGAAACGGAGTATAACTCACGGTATAACTGATCGCGGCCGGACTGGAAGCGCGGGCTCTCTCTCTCTTCCTACGGCCTTTGCAATTGGGGCAATCGCCACCTCCCACCGCAATTCGCGGGGGGCGCTGTCACCTCACCCCTGGCCTACCCTTTGCCGTTTGCACAGAGCGCGTCTGACAGTGTATCTCAGCGCTGTCGCAACTTGCGGTCGAGATTTTTATAGCCTTTGACACCTGATCCTTACGTTTAGACACTCAGCCACTATCTAATGCGCTTCTGATGAGCCCAAAACGGTGAATATTTGACGCACATTTCCGAGAGATTCGGGAGTAAAAAGAAGTAAGTAGAGACAGCCAATGCGATTGCGGATAAACTATACTCGTCTTTACCTCCAAGACTTCTGCTGCAACTCAAGAACAGGAGGAGACGGACCCCTTCTACGTGGAGGAACTTTAAATGATAAATAATTCGTACACTCTCGTGAAATGTAAGCAGGCGCAATCTATCTATTGCCGTGGTCTGCATCATCATTTCATCGGCGGCACATGAAGTCGGTCAGCTGCTCTAGACGAGGGTGTAGTAGTCTGTATAATTTTCGCACAGTGCATATTACAGCCTAAAGTGCTTCCTCGAGGGCTTGTGCGCATATCCAGCTGATTTTTCGTTTCTGTCCGTGACCGTCTTTGGATGGTTAATCAGAAGTATTCTGAGGAACCGTTGCCAAAACAACAACCCACGAAGCTCAAACACCAGCGCAAAGCAGCTCGAAGGGACTCTCCGAGTGGGGTGAAGTGGGGTGAGGCGGTTGCGCTCCTGGCGTCAAGCAAGTGAACTACATACGGAGGAAAAATGCCATTGACTCCCGGGCGATTGCAAAGGCCGTAAGAAGAGAAAGAGAGCGCGCGCTTCCAGTCCGGCGGTGAACTGATGTGGGTACGCCCCAATATTGTCACGGGTGGTGACCAAAGGAACACTAAATAAACAGAAAGAAAGAAACGTTTAATGTGGCGAACTTGTGCCAAAAACTAAAAGGGTACAAAGAGAATAACAGAGCGTCGCGGGCGTCGAAGTCGGCGTAGCAGCACAGTCGAACGCTGGGGAAAAACTGACTGCGGCTCGCCACGCGGAGCCCCTTATGTACATGCGTGGTCTTCTGGAATAATCGGCGAAGAAACTTCGACGCGTGGAACATTCGGGCCTGGAACAAGTAACATGATTCTCGAATTCTCCAGAACACTAAATTAGAGGAATAAACAAAAGACATGTCGCTCCAGGATTCGAACCCTAGCTTTTCGCGTGGGAGGCAGGCGCGATAACCATTAGGCCACGCGCGCGCTGCCTACTTGGCGAGCGCGCGCGGCATTACTCCCCCCTTTAAAAGGTGCATCGCCCCGATGCAGCACAAAACAAAAAGCAAACAAAAAGAACGGTAAACTAAAGAGTCATTTGGAATACGTAAGGTCCACTGTCCTATCGAGCGTAGTACGGCTTCATGCGCACGACGTGGACGACTTCTGGTCGTGGAGGGCGGCGTGATGAAGTCCGTGTTCCATCGGGCATCACCTCGTAGTTCAGATCACCGAGTCGACGAAGTACTTTGTAGGGTCCGAAGTACCGACCGACCTTCGAGAGGAGATCTTTCAAGCATGTCACGACGACCCGACGTCGGGACACCTCGGTTACAGCCGAACACTGGCCCGTATTCGTGAAAAGTATTACTGGCCAAAGCTACCCCGCACCTCCACCAAAATGTCACGGGTGCTGACCAAAGGAACACTAAATAAACAGAAAGAAAGAAACGTTTAATGTGGCGAACTTGTGCCAAAAACTAAAAGGGTACAAAGATAATAACAGAGCGTCGCGGGCGTCGAAGTCGGCGTAGCAGCACAGTCGAACGCTGGAGAAAAACTGACTGCGGCTCGCCACGCGGAGCCCCTTATGTACATGCGTGGTCTTCTGGAATAATCGGCGAAGAAACTGGAACAAGCAACATGATTCTCGAATTCTCCAGAACACTAAATTAGAGGAATAAACAAAAGACATGTCGCTCCAGGATTCGAACCCTAGCTTTTCGCGTGGGAGGCAGGCGCGATAACCATTAGGCCACGCGCGCGCTGCCTACTTGGCGAGCGCGCGCGGCATTATAGCTAAGGGTGGCGGCGTCTGCCGCATCGTTGCCCATGGCCAGCGCCAGCGAAGCACTGTATACTCTTGCGGAAGATGGTGGGAGGTATCTAAAAAGTATCGTAGCAGGAAATATTGTCGGAATAGGTACGGTTCGGGGCCAAAGCTGCCGCTAGAACGATCACGGCACGTCACGGAAACCAAACCTCGCCGAAGGCGGCCATTGTTATGTCGGTGCCGATGAGACTTTCGTTTTATCCTTCTTGCTTGAATTAGTGCTTGAACGTTCTGATTGTTGTTTCTTTACTCTACAAAAATAGATTTAAAAAAATCGTGTTTTGTTTTAGGCGTTTATAATAAATAAAAAGTGCGCATATAATGAATTTGCATTGCAATTTAAAAAAAAAAAAAAAGATAATGTGACATCAGCTTTGGCGTCGTTTCGGTTGCAACGAATTTCACTTGACGCGCATCTCAACTGGGGTTGAACACCGATTGTCCGATTGAACACCGGACAAGTTAGTTGAGCTCTAAGACAGTAGAGGGATGTCAACGATCGTTGGTTAAATGACAGTTGAGAGCGCTAATGTAACTAGAGTATTAATCCATAACAAACTGTGAACGGTGACCACAGAAGTATAGGACCTTACCTTGATCATTACTTCAGAAAATGTGATAAAACTACAGTTACAAATTAGAGTTCGAAAAATAACGCGTTACGTTTAAACGTTACCAGAAAAATAGCGAAGTTACACAAACCCGTTACTATTCAAGACTGGTAATCCGTTTCATACTGAGTCCGAGCCAGTCTTAAGCAGTGACGGATTACATGTAACGCGTTCGGGTAACTTAGTTAATTTTTTTTGTATCTTCTAACTCTAACGCGTTACTTTCTTCGAAACGTAAATTGTAACCGTAGTTCTGTCACTTTTTTTCAAGTAACGATTGTACGTAACGACGTCACTTTTGTCGTTACTTTTCACAGTTTCTTGATGATGAAGATGCAATTGAACGGGTGCGATCTAGTCCTTCCTCGCACTTTCAAAATGATCTGCTCCGGCATTTTGAGTGTCATGTTCGCCTTGCGCAAACTTGCAAATATCTCGTTTCTCACGTGCACCGGCCCGGATACAGCCACGTTTAAATGTGACGCGAAAAAAAAGAAAAAAAAAAAAAACTAGTTGTCTTTACGCACCGGAATTTTAAGCAAGTGACTAAAAAGTAACCCCGTTACATTTTAAAGGTAACGCCATAAAATGTAATGAGTTACTTTTTCCGTTGGGGAAACTGTAATGGTAGCTTCGCAACTTTTTTTTTCTAAGGTTCCTAAATTTGCAACGAACTGTTTTTTTTAAGTAACTTGAAGCGTTGGAAATGCATCGTCACGAATCTCTCTGACTTTGTGAGTTGTTGGCTCTCACCGGCTAAACTTAAAGTATCTCGTTACTTCTTTTTACGAGTAACAAGAACCGATACGAATGACAAAGGGCACATCTGCGGAAACAAAACGGCGTCACTCAGTTCAGCCTTCCGCTGTGCCGCTGCCATTCGCTTCCTTCCTAAACCCCGCACTGTCACGCAGTCGGCGCTTCAAAAGAATGTCGCTACTTATAGGAAGCTCTTCTCTAGGAATTTAGCTAAACCTACCTCACGCGGGGAAAAACAAAAAGCGTAGCATCACGGCGGTAGCAAATGCAGAAAGACAACGTCCACCGGGACAATGCACTGTGGTTAATTATCTTCCTCGGATATCGCAGTACACTCTAAAAGAAGACCCGTGCGTCTACTTTCCCGCAAAACACTCGGAGATCCAATCACCGCAACTTTTCTGAGGCAGCTCAGCGAAGGACGGCGCTGAAACATATGTTTAGACCAAAAAATGCAGTCTGAGTTGTGACATTAAGCAAAGCAAGCGTGACATTTTGCATTGCTTAATGTCACAACTCAGACTGAGTTTTTTGGTTTAAACATATGTTTCGGCATTGTCATTCGCTGAGCTGCCTCCGTAAGTCGCGGTGATTGGCTCTCCGAGCGTTGTGCGGGAAAGTAGACGTACGGGCCTTTTAGAGTGCATCAGCTGCTCTCGGACCTACAGGGTAACTCTGAACGCTTAAAAAATCTCAGGGCGTGCCGAGTGTCGAGCATCTCATTATAGCTCCGCAACCAATCAGATTGCGGCATTTGGTCGATGAGAATCCGAAGAACCAATCACTGAGCGAGAAGCGCGGAGATTCTTGAGATGTCGGTGACTACGGTGTGAAACAAAATACATACCTGCGGGTACTCGTAACTTTCTTTTTGTTTTGCAATCGCTGGTTAAACATTAAACAGTTACTTTTGTTGGTAATATTGTGAGTCTGAGTAAGGTAAATCTGAAACGGTTGAAACGTTTTTTTTGTTTTTTTGTTTTTCTTTTACGCACGATTAATTTTAGAAATAATCAGATTCCAAAATGTCCGTCGCTCCTCTCGAAGGCACGCCATCTTGATGGCAGTCCCACAAAGTGTATTGTGAATTCCTACACATACGTTTCGAACTCGCCACCATTTTAATTTAAAACATCGAGTAACCTGCGAAGGCTCCCAGAAAGAAAAGAAGTATCAAACAAAAAGAAAGTGTGCGAATACAGAACAACGAGAAAACACACGAAGTAATGTCTTCGTCGTAGCTTGGTCTCTCCTAAATTGCCACATACTCGCCCCATCAAGTCCAACTCAAACTCTCGTAAGCGAAAAAAAAAAAAAAAATGGCGTAAAATCGGCGTTAGGTTAATCCAGGTCGTAATCCAAGTGGAGGGGTGTCCGAACTCCGAAGCCATCCTAGAGAGTCGGGCGTTCGACCGGACGAGTCGGGGCAGCGCGAAAGCGCAGGCGTCGGCCACGACGAAGCTCCAGCTCACCTTGTACATGTTGAACGGTCTTGGAGGTAGGTTGCTTCTCGGAGGCAGTGGGTATAACCAGTGAAATGATGCTGTGATCTGTGGGAGCCTCCACTCACCTCAGTTTTATAGAGGTTCCAGCGGGCACGTTGCGGGCGGTGCCGACCAATCAGCGACCGCTGCCCTACATTATGCAATAAAGCCGCCGTCGGAGATTCCCCTGCAGGTACGTGACGAATGGCCCACCCTCATAAGAACAATAACGACTACCTTGTTTTTTGTTCTTTCTGCTCGAATGCACGACGACGACGAAGAAGCGCAAGCAAAGGCGCGACGGCGGTGGCCATGGAGGAGAGGGCCACGGGACAAACTCTCGCTTCGCAGCTTGTCTTCTCCGGGATGAGAGGATATATTCCTTAGCCGCAGCTGAGAAACACGTTAGGGTTGGACGGTATCTTCCGCCCAGTGCACAACTGCTTAAAGAGAAAGAGAGACGGTGATTTTCCTCACGCACGACTCATTATCTTTATCCTTTCGTTTGCTTGTCTTCTTTCTCTCTTTGATATAAAACACACAAAAAAAGCACATAAAGAATTGCCTGCTTCCCACGCAGTGTCGGTTATTCCTTCGCAGATGAATTGATGTTTTGTTTCCTTTTAATTTAAACTTGTATTTGTTTTATATTCTGAATAGGTTTTACGGGATTCGTGCGTTTATCCACAGTGGTGAAAGAGCTAAAGTCACTGAAAAAGTGAGGACGGCAGGAAGCAGCTCCATTTGTCCTGCCTTTACCGCGAGCTTCCCACCTTCGACAATGCTTCAGCGTCTCGTGCAGCTGGAGTGCTCTCGCGCAGCCAGAGCACGGCGGAAGGCACGAAGCGCGTGATGGGAGCCGGACGTTCGAAAGACAGGCCCTGCCGTTCTCACGTTACCATCGATGATAGACACAGGTTACACTTTGTCACTGTAAATGTGATTTCTCGGAATCGATGCAATGCAGTGTTTTTTTTGGTGAAGCGAAGAGTGTGATTCTTGTATTCTTAAACCGGCCATTTCGTACGTAGTGCTTTGACGAATAAAAGATAGAATCTCCATCGAGCCCGAATGATCCGATGCTGGCGTGCCCTAGCCAAAGCTCGAGAAATGAAAATCCGCTGATGCGAGTCAAAGAATATGTTATTCGGCTAAGTTTTACCGCACCGAAATACCTCAAATATACTCTGTACTATTATGGAGCCCGTACAAAATAAGATAACACTTTCATATCCACACTAATATGTCACACTCATTGCTCGGTACGTAAGGGCGCAGTTAAGGGCCGAAACACAGGGCGCACCACACTCTAAGAAATGCCTGTGCGTTTACTTACCCGCAAAAAACTCAAAGAGCCAATCATTGCGATTTAGGAAATCAGCTCCGCGAATGATGAGGCGGAACATCCGTTTAGACCTAAAAGTGAAGTCTGCGCTGTGGCGTTACGCAGTGCAAAGCGTCATGCTTGCATTGCGTAATGCCACAGCGCAGACTTAATTTTAAGGTCGAAACAGATGCTTCGCCTCATCATTCGATGAACTGATTTCGTAGATCGCAGAGATTGGCTCTTTGAAAGTTTTGCGGGTATGTAGACGCGCAGGCATTTTTTAGAGTGTATTGTACGTTCACGCTTCCTTGCTTCCTAATGCGTTCTTAAACCTTTGTTATCCGCCAACGCCTCGATCTCATTGCCTACCGAGCGATAATATAAGATTCTCGGGAATCGCCACGCCGGGCGTTTTTTAAACTGTGAGTCACTCTAAAATGCGCAGAAAGACCGACACGCGTACTGAAAACGCAATGTAATTCTGTACTTATTGCGCTTTGAATGCATGTTTAGCCGACTGGAGCAGACGTGCAAGTCGACAGATACCGTGAAGTTGTATTTTCGACAAACTTTCCTTGGCAGCATTGGCTCGCAGCGTCGGCTGCGCTCATTACATAGCTAAATATGTACGTGACATGTAAAGCTGACGCACATAAGTTATGATTATAATTCATCCATAAGGCCAGAAGTAGACTTGGGAAGTAATCCGTTAGAAGTAACAGATGACCTGTAATCCGTTACTTTTTCAAGTAATTTTGTAATTGCCTTACCTTTTTGCGGTAGCAATTTGTAATGTTATTTGGATACAAATATTGGTAACGGAATGCTTTCATTACTGGTCACCTTTTTAAAAAAGGAACATAATACAGAAACTGGAGCAATGTGAGCAAGCAATTAAGCAGCATAAAGATAGCAGGTTCCACAAAATAGAAAACCTCGTGAAGAGGAGAGTTAACGAAAAGAAAACACGATTGTTTGTATGACCGATCACTAGAACCACGAGAAAAACGTGCAAGTCATATAAAAATATGCGAAAAACAAGAATAAAGAAGACAACACCGAGTAGGTATTGTCTTCTTGATCTCCCAGCGGAGGCAGACGCTGATACTGAGCATGGGTACCGCTAGCTTTGTCTGCAGAAATCCAAGGATCATTGCGGTCGCCGTAAGCTAGCTGGATGGGGGGCGGGGTTGCAGCTTTCGCTGCCTTGTCAGCTTACAGGTGAACGGAGTGCGCCTACATTCTTTCTCTTAAATGAAATATTTTATTTTTACAAGGACTCCCGTAATGCGGGCATATGAGAAATGGGGAGTAGTGTTGCAGAACATTTTTGGAAGCATCGAAATTGTTTCTAATAGTTTCTTTATAGATGTACACCCGTGAGTGATATGAAGGTGAACAGCCCTCTTCTTGTTTTTGACGCTCCTGCAAGTTTTTGAACAAGCTCTGTTCCAGAAGAGCGGCTAGAACGCAAAGTTTACACCCTTGGCCACGTACCATTTGAGACGTTGAGAGTTAATATAGCTTTAGGGAGCCGTAAAACAGGCAAGAAACCAGGTAAGGTGTTCACCTTCATATTGCCGGCGGGTGTACGAGGAAAAGTAACGTGAGAGTAATTTCTAACTTAACGAGTACAGTAATCTGTTACTTTTCAGCAAAAGTAATTGGTAACGTAAATCTATTATATTTGAGGCTGGGTCATTTGTAATTGTAATGTACTACATTTCTCAAGTAACGGGCACAAGTCTGGCAAGAAGACATTTTACATCCTGCGAGGAAACTCTCAGTGCGAGCCATTTTTGTGTTGCCTGATCGCCTGTCGTCAAGAACCACCAGCCTAATTTCAAAAGACTACTGCCGTTCTTCTATTGTTTTCATTTTTTTTTGTAATTACGTGCTAGATATATATACCTGATACACATCGACCACTCGCTCCAGGTATGCAACTAAGGTTAAGAAGATTGCACGTTAAAGTTTGGTCAGCGTTATTGCGCGACCTTTCTAAATCTAGACATGAGCACAGAGTGATTTGAGCCTCACAATAATGCTTCTACTCACCTGCTCGAATAAACGTTTCTGCATATCTTCTAACATTTCCTGGGAGTAAGTATTCTTTATCAACTTCATCGCCTCCGCGCGGAATCAATGTAGAGCAAAATTTACCTTGGGATGTTTGAACAAATGATTGCAACAAAGCTGTTATATGTCCACACTTTGCGCGTTCAAACGGCGATATAGTTATCAATTTTTGGCATGAGCCCGAAGTTTCACTGAGGAACCGGAAAATTTGGGGTGGTAAGGAAGAGTACCAATGTCATCGTTTATGTTTTTTTTTTCTTAAATGTCAATTCGCCAGTCAATCTGAGATAATACATATCAGAAGCAGAGTGTGTGGTCTAAAGCAGGCGTTTCCGAATCCCGGCCCGCAGGCCAAGTCCGGCCTGCAGAAGTCTTTAGACCGCGCTTCTTCCAATGAAGTCTGGCCCGCGGCTTACTTCCGAAAGATCCACTGCTACCGGCGCAAAAAGGTCGTCTAAAGAAATAGCTCCTCGACGCGCTCCAAATGCGCGAACGAAGATACAAGAATGAACTAAAGGAACTGCACCATAACGCGGGTCCTTTCGCCATATTATTTATTGAACATTGTCATCATCACCAGCGTCACCATTCTTGGTCCCCTGCTTCACGTCTGTTTAACTGTGCTCGAATTTCTTTACATTACCATATAGATTGTTCTTAGTGTCCTCTGCCAGAACTGTTGCATATTGTCAACACCTGTTTTATCATTCTCCTTGGTCTCTTGCACTGCACGAATGTGCTAAATTCTTACGCACTCTCATTCATGTCTGGGGAGTTTTCTTGGCCTCAACTGTCGTGTAATGTCATAATTAGCTAAATATGAAATTTTAAAGGAAAGTCTATACATTCATCAAACTCCAATTTTGTAATACTTCCTCTAACTTTAATTTTTAAGTTTAAATTCTTATCTAGGTTTATTTATTACGTTTTTTCTCGTTCATAATCACTAGTTTTTTCCAACCCTCAAAAGTGCGACAGACACCAAATCCGACCCTTAACCACGTAGTTTGGAGAAACCTAATCTAAAGAACTGAAGCGTGTTAGTTTTTGCACAAATGTTCAAGAACCATTATTTCGGGAGAGTGTTTCCACATTCATGTAGTGCATTCACAAAAAAAATATATATATTTTTTTTCGAGTGCTTTAGTGCTTACTTCCTGAAACTTGACTGTGTACACTTGAATTTCCACAGATAATAAGACACAGTCCAAGTTTGTGCATTAGTGATGAAAAGTCCGCGAGCTCGAGTGACTTAAATGGCTTTGTGCACCCACTTGTGAAGGTTACACATCCATACCTTACATTCATTTTCACTTTACAAGCGTCATGTCCCCAGTTTATGCTGAGAAAAGTCTTGAAGCCCCCCCAGGGGTTTGCACGCACACATAACGTCGCACAAAAGACACCAGATGAGCGTGCCGTCTGATAACTTAAGAAACGTTAAAGTACGAGTTGTGAACAAAATGCGGGAACATAATAAGTTACGCCATGCGTTTCTGGAGCTATCAATAAATATAGCGTACACAATAAAAAAAAACAAAAAAAAAACAGAAGTCATATTTTGCATGTTTCAGGAATGTCAAGATCAGGATAATGACGATGTGGGACGAATAAAGGGAATTCACCAATCTTGAATCGCAGGTCACACAAAATCAATATGAATACGACCGCGCGCGTCGCTTCCAATATTTTATTTGTGAAAAGGTCTGCAAATTGACAAGTTTGGTTGACAGCGGAATGCGATCCTAGAGTAGATCTTTCACAGCCGAAAAAATAAACCGAAATATATGGGACAGAATTGAGGAACTGTAATCTGGCCCACTACGCAGGTGTTTTTTTTTTGTTTTTTGTTTTTTTCTTTTTTGATAGTGTGTCAATGTTATTTTCTTGTACTTATCATACAAAGGCAAGTCATACAGTTCAGTGTGTAGAAGGTAAAGCCTATTAAGCGTTGCTCTCAATTATGCGTGATGGCCTGAAATGGTGTAAATCAGCATGGGAAGCCGATGCCGAAAGTTTTAAACTTTGTGGAAGTATAGCTTTCTGAGGTGAACCTAAAAGTGCTGCAAACTTACCGTAATTATTAAGGCCGTAGCAAAGGCTCCTGGCTAATGTTTTTCGTTTTCTTTGGAATTAAAAAGGCTTCTGATAAATGATAATAAAATGGCTAACCAGTTGAAATAAAGACGCCAGTTTGTGTTAAATGTTTTGTGTTTTCCCACGGTCGCCTTTTGTCGCAGATCAAATTAATAAGCCAGACACATAGATAAAAAGTTCTTGGGTGTGTTTCCTTATTCGTTCCTGGAGAAAAAAGATAAAAATAAGAAACACCAGAAAAAGTTGCTTTATTATGCTCATCCGTGCACAGAGACAAGTAGCCCAACAAAGTAAAATAAGGTAGAACCACAAAAAACGACACTTCGGGAGGTGAGAGACACACAAAAACGGAGGTAGTGAAGAGGTGAAAGAAGACATTAACAGAATATAGTTCTCTTGACAACATAGTCACGCGACAGATAAATACGTCTTCACACTCGGAAAAAATTATAAGTCGAAAAACAATCAACGATACCTGAACAAGGTACCTCACGTAACAGGGCAACATAAATTCGCAGAAAGAATGAAAAGGAACGTATACTAATTGTTTCCCTTTTGTTGTTGGTTTAGCTCCGCCCCGGGTTAAAGGGAAAGGGGGAGGGGGTCGAAGCAGACGCTTTGGTCGAAGCAACAGTTTGAGCGTTGACGTTTAACTCTAAATCACTCACACAAACGAACAACAACGCCAACAGAAAGACAAACAATGACGAACAGCACTAACGAAGACTCAAACACAACGGGTAGGTTTTCTCCGCAGTTTGCGAACGAAGGACGGGGACAGAATACGAGAATGGAGGATGGGAAAGGGAAACGGTGGAGCAGAGAGGACTAAGAAAAACTTTACACAGCGCCCTCGTCCACGATGTTGCAGACGACGCGAGGCATGTTTGATGCGAGGCAATCGTATATCTCGTATATCCGCGTGTATACGACCTCAGACAGACGCCGTGGCTGCAAGCGGTAAGGCATAGTAAGAGTCTAGCAGTTCATCTAGCCCCTGAAGCCTGCGGCCGCTGGTCCGCCACGGATTCTGTTGGGCTCGTTGGCGATGGCGGCCTCGGGTCCCGGTAGAGCACTGGACTTGATGGTGACGTCAGCGGGGTTCTTGGACTCGGTGCCCTGCTCGTTGGTGACCACATCGGCGTGGAAGCCGGTGTCGTCGGCGTAGTACGTGACGGTCCTGGTGCGGCCGTCGGCGTCGCTCAAGGTATACTTGCCTGTGACGCGACCGCTGCCGTCTCCGCTTTGCTCGTGGGTGTGACTGCCGTCCGCGAGTTGAGAGATGTAGTTGAATGCGTACGGGATCGGAGGGCCGTAGTTTTCTTGGAAACCCCGTTGAGCGGCCTGCGAGAATAAAACCACAAATGGTGTTTTAGGGCGCGTTCATGGATAAGTACGAGGCCATTCATCCACGGCCTGTCTGGTGTGACATGGTTTCTGTGGCGGATGGCCTCCCTGACGTGCGACCTATTCAAGTACGAAAATCACTCCTGGATATGTCTTTCAGTAACTATAGCTGTTCGCGGCGCTTCATTCAGATTTTCCCGGCTAGATTTTCTTAGCCAAATGCAGCAGTTCATCTCGCCCCCGCCATGTCTCTGCTCGTGTGGGAATGAAAGAATTGTAAGCGATGGTAATCTGCTAGTAAAAGTTAATGCTGTGCGTGCGGTGTCACCAAAGTTGAACGTAATATACAAATCTGGAGTTGAAAATCATTGCAATATTTTGTTTACCTAGTTTTCGCTGTTATTACCATTCCACCAATATTTAAAATTGTGGCCGCGCAGTACGTCTCAGAAAGAATATATACCATTGGGGGGGATGGTAACATCTCAGAATGTGTACAACCCATAGCTTGAGAACATTTTGTTCGCATGATTATTTTAGCATTTTGACGAGTTTCGTAAAAAAACACTATGAAACTATCTCACACTCGTGCGTAAGCCTAGACAATTTGGTGAAAAAACAAAACAAAACAAAAATTAGCATCGTAGCGTGTTCCATGTGCTAGCACAAGCACTCTGCACCTGCACATGACAGTGTTGCGTCGGCCGGAGAAAATGAGCGAAGAGTACTTACGGCAACGGAGATGCAAGCCAGGAGAAGTGCGATCTGAAATATGTCAATGAAAAATTAAAACGTGGCTAGAAACGGCCAAGGTACCCTCCAATATAAAACTACATATAAACTATCTAAAAATGCCACACATGCCTAGCTGAACACGGGAGGAAAATAGAGATATAGGATAAAATCAAAGACTTTGCGGATATTGGCAATATCTGAGCGGGATAAAGGCAGGAGGAAAACGCCCCAATATTAAGCGCTGACAACGGGCGTCTCTTGAGAAAGAACGAAATGGAAAGCAAGAACATTAGGCGATAGGTTAGACATGTTCATTTTACTGCGACTAGTTTAAGTTGTTCAATTGTTTCACAATTATTTTGTTTATATAATGCACACCCCTTGTGTTTATTTGCAAAACTATAAGTAACGATGTCTGGGCACCGCCATTGCAAGTGATAGACTACGGTATACTTTTGCGTGTGTGTGTATATATGTGTGTGTGTGTGTGTGTGTGAGTGTGTGTGTGTGTGTGTGTGTGTGTGTGTGTGTGTGTGTGTGTGTGTGTGTGTGTGTGTGTGTGTGTGTGTGTGTGTGTGTGTGTGTGTGTGTGTGTGTGTGTGTTTAATAAAGCCCTGCCGGCAACCTGGGCCCATCGAGACCAACGACGTCTGCTTATACGTTACACCGTTCTATGGCTGCTGAAATGCATGGCAATATGGCGGGCCTTTTCTTCTAAATTTATTATATGAACTGCGTGTATTAAGTAAAGATAATCTGCCAGTTTATGAAAACGCACGTATCATGGTAGTGTAGACTTGCAGTCGCATAAATTTGAGAAAATGTAATCAGACTTCGTTATTTCATGAATACTGCACATCTAAATTAATTTCAATCACTTGGCAAACACACCTGTTAATTTTGTTGGAATAACTGTGAGTTGAATTAGGTGAATTAGAAACGGCGGAAACAGCGTCTTTTTTTTTTTGTTTTCTTAACACAAGCCAAACTTAAAAAGTAATCAGCGGCTGTAACGTCCGTCGCACTTCTCCTATGCACGCAATCTTGGTGGCAGCCCCGCAAAGTTCCTAATAAAAATCTAAATATAAGATACGTGTGCGTCGAAGTTTTAAGTCCAAATATGTAACGTTAAAAAAAAAGAAAAGCGTAAATTAAATTATAATTAAAATATAAAAACAAAAAAAGAACAAAAAAAAAAACCGAAGCAGGGTATCCGTTGCGGCTTAGTTCCTCCTCAATCTTGTAAGCGACCGAATAAAACTGTTAACATAAAAAGCGGCGTTAGGTCAACGTAGGGTCGTAATCCGAGTGGAGTGGGGGTCCGAACTCCGAAGCCGTCCTCCCGAGTCCAGCGTTCGACAGGACGAGTCGGTGCAGCGTGGAGACGTCAGGGCCGGCCCAGTCGACGTCGTCAAAGCTCCAGCTCACCTTGTACATGTCGAACGGTTGTGGAGGCAGGTTGCTCCAAAGAGACGATGGAATGTAACCAGTGAAAAAGATTCCGCGAGCTGTCTGAGCCTCCGCTCATCTCCGTTATATAGCGGCTCTGCCGAGCACCTCGCCGGCGACGCCGGCCAATCGGAGGCCGCTGTCCTACATTGCGCAATCCCACCGCCAACGTTGAGCCCCGTGCACACCCGAGTAAAAATTGTTCCCCCACCCACCCCCATAAGAACAATAACAACCAGGTTTTGTTTGTTTGTTTCCTTCCGCACGAACGCACGGCGAAGGCGGACAAGCTGAGGCAAGCGACGGCGGTGGCAATGGAGAGGAAAGGAAGAGCGAAAGTGGTTTTCCGGACGCACGACTGTCCGTCTTTGCTCGCTTTATTTACTCATTTTATCATTATGGTGCGCTAGGCGCAGAGGGTACGCGGCGTTTAAACAAACTGAGCAGCCATTAGATTTGTCAATGTAGATGGGTTCCTGCGGGTCATCCGAAAGTCAATTCAATTTAACGTTTATTTGATGGAGCGAAGAACTTGGCCCCATAAGATTAGACGGGCCACTCAAAACCGAGGAATGAACACAATATGTGACCTATCCTGTAGAATTATATCACTTTTACGCAATGAGTAATGGATTTAAATGCACTTAGAACTCATTACTACTCATTGAATCAGTAGAATACATATGTACGGATGCTGGTACATTAGTTCACTGAAAAATGTTGTACAATTAATGTAGATACATACTGTAAAAGCCTTCATGTTCGCGTGCCCCTTTATGTTTGCGAATTTCGCGAATTGAAAAATTCGCGAAATTTAAGGGCAGGCGTCAGGAATTCGCGAGATTTAGCGGCCGCTATTGTGTCCTCTTTGACCGATTCGCGAAAGATTGGGGCCTCGAAAATAAAATGTTTTATAGTACAGAGCTGTTGAATAGATGTGGAGATATACATTATATCAGTTCATTGTGCGACACTGCAAGTGCAAACACGACATGGGTACTATCTTTAATATCACGTTGAAGGAATATTGTCAGGCACTACATTGTATTGCTTCGGTTAGTAACCGGAATGAGCCTTCCGACAATAACCAGTAGCTTTTAGAAAAGCCTCTCATTTCTACGTGAAAAACAAAAATTGTGCGTTATAGATAACAAGCGCTAACAATTTGGCTTCATATAGGTATTCACAACGCTTAATATTCACGTATAGCATAAAAGAAAGTTGGATAATTGCTGAACGCGAACTGCCATCTTGCAATGGAGCGGGGGCCTTGTCAATCTGCACCTGTAGCAGCTTTTTGCCCCAGCTTCCAATGATTGATTGATTGATTGGTCTTGAGGATTTGTCCTGTTATATTTCACGTTGTTTACTTCGAAACTTTTTTTTTATTATTTTGTTTGATAATGCGATAATTTCGTAGGCTGGCAAGCGGGAACGAGATGCTTGGGACAGTGATTATAGAATTTTTTTATCTGAGATACCACATCCGCGTTCCAGAGGATTTGCGCGATAAATATGCAAAACAAAAGCTCGATATACTATGGGCCACCTTTATACACAGTCGGTGGAATAGTGGCTTTATCGCTAGAAGAATAGGTTGTAGGAAATTGTAATTTATGTTCGTGGTATACGTTTAATATATCATAAATTTTTCCATAATTACTGAACCCGGGGTTCAATCTCTACAGGTACGAGTGTAGGCTTGTAATGAGAGGGTCTGCGTTATTATTACTTGGGTCGCCGATATGGGCAGCAACGCCAAAAGGACACAACATACACTGACCGCACTATCATACGTTTATGAACATAAATTGCGCAATTGTTCTTGCGTTTGAATGCTTGAACAGAGTGAGAAACGTGTTTTGTGAAAGGGTTCGACCACTCCCTTGCCCAGCGCCATCGGATGAAAGGAGAAGGGGAGAAAGGAGGTGGCTAGAAATAGTTGTGAAGGCCGGCATCCGCCAAGTACGCGAGAAGTAAGTCCAAGACCGCTTTGCGGCGGCGTGGCCGCCGTGGAGGCGCCAGAGCCGCTTGATTGCGGCCAAACACCGTATATATTACATTTGTTTTTTTCACGTATGCATTGTACCGTGTATAGGCAGATGAGATAGCATGCCGTTTTTCTGCGGTCGATGATGAGAGGGCAGAAAGGCTTAAGAGACATTTGTGCACGAGATCACTATGTTAAATGTAGAAATTGACCACTGCTTTATGATTCGGTCATCACTGAATGCTTCTGTATTAGTGCGAATTGTTTTGTGCCCGTGAGATAGTGTCGGATGATCCTGGATTACAGTCACTAAAGAATTTTTGCTATTCGTTTCATCAATCGTAGCGCACACCGCAGGGGTTTTGCTAGCATCGCCGACGTATACGTAGAGTATCGTAGTTTTGCCAGTGAGTGTAACAAGAAAGTTGAGATTATTGTTCTAAAAATCTTAATATGATATGGCGCATAGGCCCATATATGAATTTCTGGGACTTATTTTATCCGTATAAGCGGTTGGCTCTCGCATTCCGGCAAATAGTTGATGGCCAGAAGACGCGAGAGGCACCCCAAGACATACTCAATGAAATAATACAATGTCTGGCAGACCGGTGAGAGTCCACACGAGTGCAAGAAATTTTATTAAAGATAACCGAACCTTGTGCGTGCTCTCCAACGTAGAACGTTAATGTTATTGCTAAGTTTTTGTTCTACCATACCACCATGCTGGTTCCATGATAGTAGTCTGCCTGGTAATATTCTCAAAATAAAATGTCTTAGTTAATGGAGTTGTATCAGCGCTTAGCTAATTGAAGGTTATTGGCCCCTTTCAGATTGAAGTAAAGGATCTCTGAATATGTTAGAGAGAGGGCAACTCCGTATTTACAGAAAAAAACACTTAATGGCATTTAGCCTGTTAGCAGTATTGTAAGCACTTGGCATTTATAGGGCAAGTGTATAAAATGCACATTTCGTAATTTGAACAAGAATATTGTAAGTGCAATGTAGGTAAGTGTGGCGACTGGGCCATAACGTTGTTCAAAAACATTTGGCACAGGGCGCACTTTCTTGAAGAATTCTGACATGTAACACGTATTATTAATCGCTTGTTCTCACAAAATAGCGAGTTCTTTTAGAAAGTCGACAAACCATCCTATGAACTACCTTTTATACGGAATATAAGTTCTTGGAAAACATTAGTACGGCCATATCTCGCTAATACGAACCCAATTATTAGGAATACCTCACCATATACAACACATTTTTGAGGCCGAATGGCTAAATTAAGGCATTTTGTCTCGTTAATATGAACGACTCACATTATGGACGATTTTGAGGAAACACACGGGCCTATACTAACATCACTGATTGTCTGATAATGTTTAAAACATGATCGACGTAAAAAAAACGAAACTATAACGTTTTCGTGCATCTCTACCATTTTAACTTACGTTTATCTGATGTGCAGCGGCTTTTGCCGTAAAGTTGGTGTGGCCAGGAGGTAAACACAAAGTTTCAATATATATATACATATGAGACATTTAAAACAGAGACAACTTTCGCGACGCTTTATGCGGATAGGTGTGCGTCTTACCACAATTTATCGGAAAATGCAATAAGTTGAAAGGTTACTTTCGACTCGAGATTTTATAATACTTCATACGGGACTCCATCTTGGCCTGGTGTAGTTTTCTGGTTTAAAATATTTAGTACAATATGCAATTCCCACAGCGTGCATTCCCTGTTCGACGGCGCATGTCCTGCCTAAAACGTATGGCTCACTGCGTTACTTGCTGCGATAGACAATGCAAGAGTGAGTGAAAGCGATGTTTATTATATTTTTTCAAAAAAATCGACTGTTGCCAATGCAAGAAGTTCTTAGCTGACTGCCACCTTTCAAACTCGTGTTAGCAGTTCATAAAATTCATCAACAAGAGTAATGTCTTTAATGATACGCATTACTTCCTATTATCTAAACGAATGAAATTGAGCGTGTATATAATGGTCCATAATGCGCTAAATGCATTCCATACCCTTGGAATAAGAACACATGGGTATCAATTTGTCGCATTACTATCGCCGACGTTATGTGCAGAATCTTTAAATTCTGGTGCATATGTGCATGCGGGCGTTGACCCTTAAAGCTATGCCACCTATTCTACTGCATCTGTGTTTTGATCTTTGTCTATTTGCTCTTGATTTTTCGTATTTTCCAAGAACTCCGCTATGTCTGCGTGGAATCAGTATAGCTCGTGTTGATGAGCAAAGCTGCTACTTAAAAAATATTTTCTAGTGTTAATATAATGCATACTATCCCTTAGATATTCCTGGAAATTCAGGGTGATAATCAACAGTAGAGAAATTATAATTTAATCTTGTTTAGATGTCCTTTCTGCAATCAATCCTAGAAAATACGCCCGAGGAGAACACTGAACAACGGGAATGTGTTGGACCCCGTACACATATTTAAAAACATTTAATACAGTGTTTGAACATCGGTCCAGTGTATCATAATAGTATTTCTTTAAATGTCAGTGATTATTTCCGAAAATTGGCTCTTTTTCAGTTTGTGTACTATCAATGAAATTTCAGATGCGTTAAAGGCTTAAACTGATCGGTGGAAAGAGTTGCAAAAGCAACACGTATATTAACTTCCATTTTCAAACGACATACTCCGTTGCCACCAGTTGATGCCGACAAAAGTCTTAAGGTGAGCACCTTGCCCAAACACAACATCGCACGGCTGTCTCCAGATCGGCGTGACATTTGATAACTTGTGCAGCTGAAAAAACCGGAAGTTATCTTCCTGCACATTCTTCAGTGATGACAAGAACCGGAAGCTGTCGATGGGTCAAAAATTGGTACAAATCGCCAATTTTAGATCTAAAGCCATACGAATCATTTGGAGAATTGTGTCAACTGTTTTGCAAAAGGGCCACAGGGAGGTGTTTGATCGAGAGTGCAACTTGATCCCCCCCCCCCCCCCCCCCCCCGATTTTTAAAATCAGGTCTTAAAACACGATTTAGGTGATATGGAGTAAAGTAATTTTTAACTAGTCCAGAACTGTGCTTGTAAATCTTTTCTCATACTGGTTGCGTGCCGCTGCTGTATCCTTATCTACGTAAATTTACTACATAACGCGGTATGATGTAGATAAGCGTGCGGATGTTAAAGTCGATTGAGCGCAGCACTCGATTAGCTGCGATGGCATAAAAGAGTAAAAAATCCGACGTCCCAAGTTCTAACTCCTATTGAGGTATGCGCATATTTTACTTGTAGAAAATCTGAAGATTTGAATATTATATTTAAAATGTCCAAGCAAACTCATGGGAACCTCAACTATTTCGTTAGGTGAAGTTTTTGCTTGATGTTTGTCTTTTGGCATTATAACATGTTCAAAGAACTGATGCTTAAAATCAAACCAAGTTTGAAATGAAGACACCAAATAGATGTGGTCGTGTAACCCTTGTTCATCGACTGTCGCTTTCAGGTATTTTTGTAAGTGCTACTTTATGTGTTACCAGAGTAAAACGAGCAAAATCAGCAAATAAAAAAAACTTGTTTTATTGTGCTTGCGTGGGCACAGAGACTTGTACCCCCCTGAAATGAAATAAAATAAAATAAAATAAAACCAGAGAAGAAACATTCTGGGACAGGGGAAGACACACAAAGGAAGCAATGACGTGGTACAGGAAAACGTGAATTGAACACTCCAGCTGCCAACACAAGCACGCGACCGTTAGATGCGTCTTGGCACGTGATTTAATTGGAGATCGCAGAAACAACATGCGATACCCAACAAGGTACACCGGACGACAAAACATCACAAAGTTGCAACAAGGATAAACACGAACACGTATAATTATTTGCTTTTGTTATTTACTTAGCTCCGCTAAGTTGAAATAGCAGCTCCAGTCTGTTTTCGCGCTGACATTGAAGTAATTAAAATAACTATTCCACACACAAACAGCACCAACAGACAGACACAAAGTGAAGACGAACAGCACTGACGTAAACAAAAGCACACCCAAGGGTTGACTGCCACTGCAGAGGACGCGCTAAAGGTTAGGGTGGTTTACAGACATGGAGACTGCAGGAGAGTGAGGGATGGTGGATTGAAGAGAAAGAAACTTTTGCACAGTGCCCTCGTTCACGCGACCGCAGACGACGCGAGACGCCTACAATGAGAGGCAATCGTGTATACGGGGTTGGCGCTACCTTATCTGTCACTGGCGGCCATTGCTCAGCGCATATCTGGTAAGCTCGTGATGGTGGCGAGCTTCCAAACTGCTTTTGCAACCTGCACTTCACATCATCAAGATTCCCGGTCTTGGGAACCTGTAAGTGTGAGCTCGTTCTGGTCATGCCCAATGATTAGTGCACTCAAATGTAGCGTCCTGTGAATGCCCCCTATTGAAACGTGCATACGACCTCACACGAACGTCGTCATGGTTGGGAACGCGGAAGCGTCGTAGAGTCTAGCGGTTCGTCTAGCCCCTGAAACCTCCGACCACTGGTCCAGCACGGAGTCGGTTGCCCTCGTTGGCAATGGCGGCCTCGGGCCCTGTCGGAGCGCTGGACCGGAAGACCACGTCGGCGGGGTTCTTGGACTCGGTACCCAGCTCGTTAGTGACGACTTCGGCGCGGAAGCCGTTCTCGTCGGCGGTGTACGTGACGGTCCTGGTGCGGCCGTCGGCGTCGGTCAGGGTGTATCGGCCGGTGACGCGTCCGTTGCCGTCTCCGTTCTCCTCGTGGGAGTGGCTGCCGTCCACGAGTTGGGAGAGGTAGTTGAAGGCGTACGGGATCGGAGGGCCGTAGAATTCATCTTGGCGAGCCACGCCGAACCGCTGGGCGGCCTAGAATCAGTGAACGACAAGGAGTGAGGGAACATCTGTCTGCCTTGACGTATTTCGTGGTTCATCTAGCGGGAACTATGAGGTCATTTAGCGGTCCGTTCTACGGTATGGTGTGGCCCTAAGGCAAATGACCTTCATGATGTACCGTCTATTTAACATTCATGTATTTAAAGAAAACAAAACGCAACGTCGTGTATTTCAGCGCGTAGGACACGGTTTTTGTTCAGACCGTCAGTGCTGGATACCCTGCATTTGGTTAAAACTTTCCGTAGTACTACTCAGACGATGTGAAGACTGCGCGTGTATGGCTTTGATAAGTACTCAATATGCGCGAGCGGAGAACATTTTATTGCTTTGCAATGATAAGTTATGCCCAAGTAAATTATTCTGAATTAACCAGTGAAGCAAAAACATTTCTCAATTTTGGCGTGCCTTGACTCTGGGTGATCTATGGTAGGCTGTAGGTTGCCATTTATTGTAGACTTAAAAGATATCTCCTGTAAGAAACAAAATTGCATGCGAGTTACCTAAAAGGTTTTCGGCAGCCTATGAATCCCATTATATCAGATACAACGCAAAACAGTTTGCACAAAAAAAATCGACGGACGGTACTCTTTTTATCTTTGAAGGGTCACTTTTGAGCCCACAAAGTGAGGAGCGCTCATTTTTTCTGTAATGTTGTCGTTCAAGGATCTTCAAAATCGTGTCTATCTAGAATAAGAACAAGCGGCGATGTTCAGTTTTCCCTGTGTCCTGAAGTGTTGTCATTTCGCACAAAACGGTTAAGCTTCATTGTGGATATTTGCAATACTTCACAGCAAAGGTCACGAGGTTGATGTCAATATATTTGGGAGCTACGAAAATTATTCAAGTGGCTCCGGCGGTATTATGTCAAGCGTTGTTTAGAGAAATATGTATTTGACAGAGCTCAACTCTATAAGATTGTAGATTGTCAATCAAGAAGACATATTTAATCAAATCATGAGTCAATATTCTGAGTATGTGTCACAATTTTGTTTATGAATTACAAATATCCAACTGAAGCTTTAATTCTCTGTTATATTTTATTTTTTTATTTTTTACCTCACTCAACCTTGGGGTTAGGATGAATGCTGTAAGGGACTCATTCTGCAGATCCGGTTCCTGGTGCTACCTTCCTAAGAACTCTTAAGAATGTTCAGTGAATACACCTCCGTTACTCCGTCGTCTTCAGACAACGTGACAAGCAAACACTTGCAGACGAAAGTGCTGTGTTGGCTTAAATAAAAGTAAATAATACTCACAACAACGCAGGCGCAAGCCAGGAGAAGTGCAACCTGAAACATTAAAAAAAGAGGAATCCGAACGAGGTTTAAATTTTCTTCCTAATAAGTGAAACAAAGTAATCATTTTAGAGATGCCTCTCAAGTGAAGGTTAGTGCGGGACAATCATTCCTGTAACATGCATGTGCAGAGTTTAAAATATGTGGATATTAAACAGTATTGTATACTTATCGCAGATGCTCTACTCGGTAGAATGTATTTAATATATTGGCGTTTTATTTGAGTATCTTGGAGATGTTTTTGAATGGCTGTATCTTGTACTCTAGTTTAGTTACAGTTCTTAAAATCCTGTACTCGATATTGTAATTTTTCTTTATATTTTGACGTAAATTAAATGCAGCGTGAGACCTTTCACGGCAACATGCCCAAATTAACTGCATACAAGCTTGTAGAATCAGCTTCAATAATAATCATCTAATAACTATAGTGGGCATATATTTAGACTTTGCAGGAGTGTTTAATATAGAATACTAAATACTACATATTAATTTATTTTAAGTACTACTGCCGAGCACTTTGTTCGACACTGGTACTAAGTATATATATATATATTTTTTTTTTTTTTTTTGCTTTTGCGAGTTTAGGTAGTTGGAAGACATGCCTTTCTTTTACAACACGTCTCCTCCTTTTTCTCCTCCTCCTCTTGTTCGTTTACAAAATTTGTAACAACTTACACCTTATTTTTTTATTTATTTTCTTTTTTTTTTCACGAGCGTTTTACGGGTTTCGGGACAGTTGGGTGCCTAAAGCTCGCAGGTCTTATCTCCAACAAGCGAGGGACTCCGGTGATTGCCTCAAAACGTTCTTTGTAAATTCCTAGGCACAAATTCGGAGCTTGGTTTATTTTTAAACACAAATAATCTAGAAAGGCGACAAACAAAAAAAATAAAAGCAGACCAGATTTAATATTTTTTATAGCGAAAACAAAATGACGCGCAGATAATTTCCTTTATATCGTCGAAAGAATATAAGCATAAAATTGACGCGAGGTAGTATTTCAATACCACCTATGCCTAACTAACAGGGCCCTTGTGCTGGTTTTTTACGTCGCCTATACGGAAGATGAGCGCTGGGCACTGTAGTGCTCCGTCAGTGTTCGGCTGGCACTCGCGTTCCTTACTAATTGAACCAGAGTCCTAATTGAATGCTGAGGGAACACTCGAGTTTAATCCGCACCCCGCACTTTCCTCCGCAGGGCGACGTAGAAAATTCAACACTAGTCTTGCTATGCGGAGCGAAAATTCGTCTGCTTCTTGCGTAGGAGTTGCAGTCACGTCAGAAATCAGAAGCTTTGATTGGCTCTGATCGGAAGGAGAGTGGGTAGATCTCAATGATAGTAGACTTGATGTCTATCCGCTATCCTTCAATGAAAGCCAATCAGACCTCGGTGTTATGACGTCACTGCGACCCCTGCGCAAAAAGCAGACGAACTTTCGCTCCGCGTTGAGGAGGTGCTGGGTGGCCGTAGGTTCGTAATCCGGGTAGGGCAAGGGGTACAAAAGCTCCGAAGTCATCTTCCCCATACAATGACCGAGAAGGTGCAGCGCGGAGGCGTCGGCGAAATGGACGAGGAATGTTCCAACCTACCTTGTACATGTTGAACGTTTGCGTGGTTTGGTTGTTCCGAAGAGACAGCTAGAATATAACCAGCGAACAGATGCTTCGGGATGTGGATGCCTTGTGGCTCCGTTCATCTCCGCTTTTATAGCGACTCACCGGCCACCAGCTGGTCACCGCCGGCCTATCAGAGACGGCTGCCCTATATTACGCAATACCGCTACCGACGGGGAGAACCCGGCGCCCATACTAAAAGAACACCCCCCTGCGAATAACAACAACAAACAACCACGTTTTTGCTACAGGACCGCGAAGACGAGGACGAAGAAACTGAAGCGAGCGAGCAGCGACTGTGGCGAGACGACGGGGGGTGGAGGGAGAGAGGCACGGACTCCCGGACAACTTTCACTGGAGCCTCCTCGCCTCCGAAACGAGAGGATATCCCTGAGTCGCAGCTTAAATCCCGTCGAAATTAAGTAGAACGGTATCTTCCGCTGAGATCCGGAGTCGCAGGAAGGAGAGGGGACCGCGGTGGGATAGGCAAATGGTTTTCATGGCACACGACTTTACTGTCTTTTTTTAGTTTTTATTTGATTGCGTGTATTTTATGTATAAAATAAGAAAGGCATAAAAAATAAATAGTGGTTGCTGCCACACATATGCGGTGGCTACTTCTTAGTCCAGATGTAAATCAGGGGAATTTCGAAGATGTACTAGGTTGATATGGTGAACATTCCTTACAGGAATATTCAAAATAAAAACCTGGCACGCTTCTACGCTGAAGTGGAGAAACTACACGTATGTGCTACAGTACAGTCTGACAGACCAGACAGGTGTTACATTTTTTATTGTGCACGTACTACGTGAGAATGTCCAACAGTCCATTTTTTAAAGCACAAATGAGAAGCACGAGGAGGTACTAGTAGATAGACCAGTATGACACCCTGTAGATGGGAGAGCAATAACTTATACAGTTTACGAATGTACACATTTACAAATCTTGATAGCCACACGTAACGGCTCTAGTTATGTTGTTGGGAGATTAATGACACTGAGTACTGTTTGACCATTTTTTTTTGTTTTTCGAGAACTTATCTGCACCGATGCCCTCTTTTGAAGCGGGAGTGTAACCAGGGCGCTAGAATTCTTTTCATGCACAACGCTCTGCTATGAAGTACCACAAACTTAATTCTAACAGCCGGTGGTTGTTTTTATAACCGAGACATTTGCCATTAACAAACGGAAAATATATGCATTTGATGTACCAGATACATACTCTTTTTGTTGAATTTACGATTAATACGGGAAATAAAGATGGCAGTGTACGCAACTTTAACACGAAGTCTTCGGAGTAGTGTCTTCACAGGCCTACGAACATGGTATAGGGATGCGGAAGTCAAGTTTTGTTTATACCAGATAACGTTTAAGGTTGATACTTCGACCACATATATTGAGATTAATTACTGTACTCGTCGTTTTGGTGGATGGTTGCTGCAAAACGGTTGAACTTTTTATTAAATGAGACATCCCTGCGACCCAAGACCAACTGTAAAAATAATGTTTTGTACGCAGTTCAATTAATTTTCCACGTCTCTCAGGATATTTTATGCATATATACTGTTTTTGCCCTGACAACTTAATGACTAAATGGACGCCAGAGCAGCATAATTCTTTGTATATACCCTATATATTAGGCGTGCTTGTTTCTCGCAAACATTATAAGCCAGATAAGATGCGTAAGTGCAGTTATTTTGCTGTTTATGATCGATGAGGTAAGTAGAAAGGCCAATTGGTGCTCAAGATCAGGTGGTAAGGCCAATTGTGCTCAAGGTCAGTGAAGAGACGCTGAAATTGACCCCTGTTCGACTGTTGAGTTATCGACGCATATTTCTCTATTGGCAAACCTTGTTTTACATGTAGAATACTGCCAAAGCTGCCATTTCTTCGATGATGTAAGAACCTTTGCACGTCCATTTTATAAATGCTGGTATTCTCCATAGCCGTAGCTAACATCTCCGTGGGGTCCAATATTGATATATTTAAGTGACTATAATAGTGATGTTCATTATATTGTTTTAAAAGCAAGGCCTTAAATTGTAACCCAGTTCAATACAAGAATTTATAAAAAAAAAACAGGGGACTGATTGGTTGTACCTTTAAATGAGACACTGTTGCATGTTTCTAAAGTAAGGTGTTGAAATTGTTTGTTATCATGCCCCGACATATAGTGGATGAGCAGAAGTTGCACGAAGCACCAGCAGCATACTCAGGAATATAATGTAAATGTCTGGCACACCACTGCTCTATGTAGTTTCAATACATATTATGTCAAATCGCCTTAAGTCACAATGTCATTGTGAAAAATTATGATTACATTTTTTTTCAGCATAATGTCATACTAATTATAGGTAGCTGTTCCTTCAAGTTGTCTTCTCAGAAGTTTGTAAGTTATAATAAAACTTTGGTTGGGGCTAGTTGGTTCATATTGATTGAAAGGTTAAAAGGCGCGAACAAACGGGACGAAAAAAGAGACACGTACGACACGGACAGGCGTGTAAGTTATAGTTAGCGGGAGGATGTGTTCCCTTTCAGATAATCGAAAGTCCTTGAACCTTTTGAAGTGAAAGGAAACACCGCCGACTTCGTTGTAGAGAGGGAAGTCTACGCCCTTTTTCCGCAGTGGGGTTGAGAGCTTACGACTTCATGGGATCGGTGTCCATATGGAAGAAGGTGTGGTAATCGCGCCATAACGTCTTTGAATAACGTTCGGCACAGTGGAATGTCTTGAAGAATGACGACATTTGTTTTGCGCTTGCCGGCATTTCTGGTCACACGTCTTTTCAGAAACGTGGTGGCTCAGCGTATGCGAGATTTCTTACATTTAGTAGAAGTCTAATAAACACGAGCATAACTGACAATGTCGAAGGTTTTGATGATGTTAAGAAATACCGTCACTTTAATTTATACCCAGAATTTCTGATTATGTGAATTAATGTCTAATACAGGGTCTACGGTAGATGTGTAAGATCCTTCATTTTTGGGGTTTATATTTTTCAAAAAAGGGGGGCAAATGTCGGACGCTTTATACCAAGCTAGTGATCGGGAAGAAATCGAATTTTTCAATGAATTATTTTGACATTCATGATTTCAAGTTACATTTACAAAGATATAAGTATAATTAACAATAATGAGCATTGATATGTGTCAATGTATGCAATGTTTCTTTCTTTTTTTTTTTCACAATCAAGTCGTCGAAGTATACAAGATGGCATTGGGAAGGAAATTTGTCTATATGCTAGCTCTCCAGGAAGTGCCAGTAACTCACAAAATTCGTCAAAAACAGTATTGTTTCAAATATTTCGCATCACTGCGTCCGTTGGCATCCGTTGTAAGAAATAAATATATGGAAAATTGCGCAGTATTTCGAGCTACGTTATCGTGCAAGCTTTTTAACAGTGCTTAGGATTGGGCTATTTGGTGTACAATGTTTTGATTAAAATTCGTTGCTAAAGCTTTCATATTTGGTGTCACTGGTTCTACGAAAAAAAAAACAAAAAAAAAAAACACGGCATATTAAACCAAGCTTATTCTAAACGTCGGCCTATAGCGTTCCAATTAACTAGAGTTTTAAGCTTAACTAAGGTCTCAAGCAGCGCAATTTATTCAAAGAAGGCTTTCAAAATTCAGGCACATACGCATGTAGGTGCGTTGTTCCTCGATGCAATGACTTACCTGTTCTTATGCATCTTTATTCTCATCTTCGGAAGAGCTCTTCGTTGTTTATATTCATTGTTCCATGTTTTCGATATTTATCTTTTTTTTCAAATTCAGGGCTTATTTACCGGTGTTTATTTTTTTTCCTTGAAACGGCGTCTAATTTCAATGCCGGAGAAAAATCGGTGTTTGTCGGGCTTGTGTTGTAAAGCTACTGTAAAAATTACTGGAGAAAATATTATAAGTTATAACGCACCTGACATTACACAACTTTATTGAACATATACCGGACACATTACACAATTAATAAATATAAAATGTTTTTAATGATTGTTCAGGGAATGAATCTGGCTGTAGTGTGCCGTGCAGGATAAGGCAACGCCAGGCGAAGAAAAAGAGCGAGCACTAGGAAGGCGGGACGGGAGAGGAGAGCAATGGAGGGCGAGGGAAGAGAGGGAGAGCACTAGGAAAGTTAGACAGGAGAGGAGGTTTCTCTCCTCCTCCCCAGCCTTCCTAGTGCTTGCCCTTTCTCCCCTCACCTGGCGTAGCCCTCGCTTGTACTGCACGCAACTAGCAACACGGAGTATAGCTGATGCAGACGGTTCCGCACACATTCACTCTTTTAAGCCCTGCGGAAGTTATATATATATATATAGACGAGTTCCGTTCTTTACATTTCTCGGGGCGACGTTTTGAGGGCTGGTTTTGAACCGCTCTTAATGCCCCCAATGTCACTCCAGTGTCCTATTTTCTTCCATGTTCCAGGAGACTCATGCCTGTCCTAAATACTTGGAAACCGTCATGCTGGTAAAGATAAAAAGGGAACGGGGCAAGGAATATGGATTCGACAAAAAGGAACAACCCCAAGGACAGTTCAGTACGTATGTGTTCCGGGTCAACGAGAAAAAAAAAAAGTTCAGCCTTTCCACTCTGGTGAAGAAGGAAGACCAGCGGAGCTGTATTGGTAGGTGAGACGATGACGTTTTATTCTAGTAGGGCCGTGCCAATCACGGGGCGTGCTCGATGGCACGAACTCAGGTGGCCGCTGACGCGGACGCCATGGAAGAAGGGTTGGGGGAGAGACGGCATGGAACGCAAAGGGTGACTCTCCTCGTCATATTCAAGTGAGGGCAACTGTGACCTGGCTCGAGATTTCTGTCGACACGCCGCTTGTCCGCAGAAAAGTAATGGCCGGTCGCAAGTCGGCAAGGCGGTTGTCTGATTGCCGCCGTCGCTCATAGATGGCGGTAGCTGTCTGGAGTTTTGTGTCGACACGCCGCTTTTCTGCGGACACGATGTGGGAGAACTGCCCGTCAACAGCTCCGCTGTAAAAGAAAGGACAGCAGATTTTGTCCCGTGACGCTAGCGATTTTTGTTTCTTTAAAGACAGCCCACATTTGGGGGCGGGAGGGGAGGGGGGTGGCTTCACCGATTCAGAAGAAAACACCCCGAAAGTTAATTTTCGGTGTTTATCGTTATATACCGAAAACACAAAAACCTATTTATATTTAACATTAGCCCCACTGCGTCTGCTTGAAATTGGAATGGCGCATGTTTAATGTTTAATCTTTAAAAGAATGGCATAAACACAGGTGGTAATTTTCAATAACATCGTTATTCAAATTATTCCCAAGCTGTGATATGAGCCCGACATTTACCTCTAGAACGTGAAAATATAAAGTGGTCGTCAAGAGCGGAAAAATTACCGTTCCCTCTTTGTTTTAAGATTGGTCCATGAATCCATCCCAAATCATACCTCGGGGGAGCACAGCATGTAGCCTAAAGGACTGAAATATATTGGTCTCATTTCAACTGTTGAAGAATACAGAATTCAATACAGTGTATTTACGAGTGATTTGATACATGCACGACAATGTTTATTTGAGAATTTGCGGTGTGATCACTTCCGTAAATTCGAGTTTGAGCGTTCAAGTTCCTCATGTTATCAACTCAATCTCAGTTTGTGTATCTCTTGAGACACTTTGGCGAGCGCGGCAGACATAACTGGTTTTTACGTACAAACTTGCAAACGTTACACGTGTACCTGACCGAGATTTACACATTTCAAGTGCCATACTGCAGTATTTTCCAAGTTTATACCAACAAAAGTCTTGAGACAAAAACTGCACGCACACACCAAATTGGACGGCTGGCAGTAAATGAGCGTTCCGTCTGATAAAATGCATAGTTTGAGAATCGCAAGTTATCTCCCACACGTGCTTCAGAAATGCTAAGCACCGAAAACCAAAAAGTCGGTTTCAAATTGTCTGGAATCTTAAATCTTATATCTTAAGAACATATAAATTTCATTAAAGTATGACCACCCAGCGGTGCCCATTTTTCTTATTGCTCGAACGGGGTTTGACCCTGCGGGAATATATACATGGAGATGTTTAATAAACAGCGGGCATCTGGGAAGGGCAAAATATGTAAAATGGAGTAGATAGATTTTGGATTAGACCACCACGCTCGTTTCTGTTCTTTTCTTTTTTTTAGTTAGCGGGGATTTAGTTTGTAAAAAGACATGGCCTAGTTTAGCTCGCAGATGTTCATATTGATTGAACTTTGCACTTTATCATTTGTGATAACATGACAGTGTAACTAAAGAAGCGGAGTCGATGTCAGTGGTTCTGGGTTGAGTGGAAGCTCGTCTTTCTGGAGCAATAGCAAGAGTTGCGAAAAATAGACTGGAAAATGTCTAGTAATACTTATGCGGCTCTCCAGTGATTCTTGAGAACAAAATTAAACTTATGTGACGTTTGCTTTTCTGGCCTCCCATTAAAATAACGCTAGATGGAAAACACGTTTGAAATAAAGGTGCTAGATATTTGTGCTCATGTAACGTGTTTTTATGTCGTTTTTTGTCATTTTTTTAATTAGTAAACTAGACAAAACTTTGTTGGTGCTTCCCCATTTGTCACTGGAGTGATAAGAGCAGAGACTCAGGGAATCAGGAAGTCAAAAGAACCACTCTTTATTGCGCTCGCGTGTACACAGAGAGGATAGCCCAATAAAAAGAAATGTTAAATAACACCACAGAAAAAAAAAAAACATTTGGGAAAAGTGAGAGACACAAAGAAAGCAATGACGAGGTGAGAGACAACATAAACGGAATGTGCTTGTTATCAACACAAGCACGCATCCACTAGATACCTTTTGGCACGTGGAGCAAATGGGGAGTGGAGAAACAGCCAAACAGACTCCAACAAGTTACCCCATATCAGAGAACGACAGAAACCCTTAACAGGTACGGACGCTTCTGTTGATCATATATCACCGCCGGGAAGTAACAACTTTTCGGTCGAGGCAAGGGGTTTCCTGCTAAAGTTTAAACAATAAAAATACAAATCCCACAAAAAGAAGAAGAGACAAAACTTACAATGACGACCGGCAGACATGAGTTAAGGATAACCAGCACTGACAAAGACCAAGGCACACCTTAGGGTAAGCTGTCACCGCAAGGGATGAGCATATGTAGAGGACATATTACAGGAATGGAAGATAGAAAGCGGTGGTAGAAATAAGAGGAAGAAAACTTTACACAGCGCCCTCGTCCACGGTGTTGCAGACGACATTAGGCATACGACCTCACACAGGCATCAAGGTTTGAAGCGGGAAAGACGCAGTTAGGGTCCAGCGGTCCATCTAGCTCTTGAAGCCTCTGGGTGCTGCTGCGCCGCGGAATCGGTTGGGCTCGTTGGCGATGGCGGCCTCGGGTCCTGGCAGCGCGCTGGACTGGAAGACGACGTCGGCGGGGTTCTTGGATTCAGTGCCCTGCTCGTTGGTTTCCACCTGGGCGCGGAAGCCGTTCTCGTCGGCGGTGTACGTGACGGTCCTGGAGCGGCCGTCGGCGTCGGTCAGGGTGTATCTGCCGGTGACGCGGCCGTTGCCGTCTCCCTGCTCCTCGTGCGAGTGGCTTCCGTCCACAAGCTGGGAGAGGTAGTTGAAGGCGTACGGGATTGGCGCGTAGTTCTCATCGGGACCGAACCGCTGGGCGGCCTGCAACCATTAAAACACAAGAGTTGAAGGGAGACAGTTATCCTTTTTTGTGTGTTTTGTTGCACTATTGGGAACTAGCAGGCTATGAGCGGTGGTTTGTGTGGTATGATATAGTTGATCTGGCAGCTGACCTCAAGCTGGACACTGCTGGCTATAACATCGGCAAGTGCTGTAACGTCGTCTGCTTCGCGCCTAGCAAACGACCAAATGGTGTGATAACAAACTGAAAAAACAATCAATCTCCGAAAGGGAACACAGAGTTCGATTTCTGTCGGAGAGTAGTTAACGCTTGGAGTACGAACCGATCACCTCTCGCGTGTTATAGACAGCTGTATCCACTGTAGTACCGTCTGTTTGAGTTATAGTTGTTTCTAATAAACGTCGCCAACTGCCCTTCGAGGTCAAGCTGGGTTCTCACCACCGTCAAATAAATAAACCTTCAGCACTTTGACCAGGGTGACTAGAGAAGCACGCGATCGGCTTTCTTCCTGCGCACTCGACCGGGTCTACTCCGAACCAATCCGTTGTGGCCATGAGTATACACTAAATACTATTACACCCTTAATGGTATAAAAATGTGTTCAAGAGACTTCCGCTCATGACAACATCCCGAACGAGTTGTGCACTGTGGATGGCACATTGTTTTACCGGGATACTTTTGCTGAAGTGAAACCTAGAATTGTTTACGGATATTTATTTATTTATTTATCAATACTATCTGGCCCAAAAAGCCGTGGTAAGAGAGGCACAACAAATACAAATAATAAGAAGAATACGATTGAACACCAGGGATAATGTGGCCCAAAACATTACACAATATAAATATAAATAGTACCCAGCATACAAAACAATAAGTAAATGTTTCATATAAACATATAAATACATTTATGTTTTTGTGCACAAGCACTAGAAAGTGGCGTGTGGTAAGATTTTCGTCGAATAATGCTGCAAATTGCAAATATGAATATGAAATTTGACAAGTCTGTTGTGTTTTATTATATTTACTTATTTTACTGAAAGCTTCGCGTTTAGAGCGTGTGCAGCAAGGCACTCATGTTACAGATCATGTTAGTCATGTCACCTTCTTAAGTAGCGTTAAGAGCCTTCACTAAGGACATCTTAGTTACAGTGACGTCTTCAGAAAATGTTACATGCAAACATTTGCAAAGGACATTGCCGTGTCGGCATACTAAAAAGCTACCGATACTCACGGCAGCGCAGACGCAAGCCATGAAAAGTGCAATCTGAAACAGTAAAAAAAGAAATAATCCGTACAGGTTAGAAACGTGTCTTCCATACTCAAAGAGTGCTTAAAAACGAAAGAATAAAAACATAAAATACGTACACGGATCACCACACTCCTTCTTTCCCCTTGTTTGCGTAAAAATTTCAAGTAGAGCGTCAATTTTATCATCAGAATTAAACACCGTTGCTATTTGAAGGGGGTGTGGTCGTCGATGTACCGTCTTCTATCTTTTCATTCTTTCGTTTTTAAGTATTCATTACAACAACGCCCTTGAATTAGCTTCATACTCGAAAATACACAATAAAATCAATGTAAAAAAAATTACTCTCAACTCAACCTTACTATATATATGGGACATATAAGGGAAACTGAAACGGTTCTGTGTTTGAGAAAAGTAAAACACTTAAATCGTCTTCATTTGGCCTCCATAATCCCGGATATCAAAATTATATTTTAGATAAATGCGCCAAGTAGCCACAACAGCGCTTTGACGACCGCGCTGAAGTCCGTCCTTCCCGTCGCGTTCGGTACGAGGAGGGAATCCTGACGTATTATAGGGAGAACTCAACATTTCCGCGCTTTACGCAAGCCTTACCCCAGCAGTCAAAAGCTCTGAACGCGTTCCCTGCTAAGCGGTACGCGCAAGGCAACCTTTGGGTATGACGTCACACCCAGCAGTTGCTTTTTCGTTGTTGTTCTTTCTTCTCGCGTCTATAGATACGGTTGGGTCAAATGCTTGTTATATTCAAATTCACGGGACAAAAATACGCTAGAATCACCTTCTTTCCCTCTTCTTTTTAAGGAACCTCTTCAGCTTCTCTCTAAGGTAATACGTATGCTGAGAGTTCGGCAGATGTCGGTGTTAAGCGACCTTGTATGCTCAATCTAGGTACTCTCCTCAATAGTATATGTTTAAGAGAGAATTTCTGACACGAATTTCTTTACTTAGCACTGCTTTCAAATGAACGGTGGTAGCCCGATTACGAACAAAAAGAAAAACGGTCAGGGTAATATGATATCGGCTTATGACAAACTAGATTGCCACAAGAAAACAGGAAACAATCTAGATGCAAAGTGAGCGCACAAAACGCACTTCAAGTCCATGATGATCTGTTAGCGTGGATAACCCAGCTGAGAACGAACGCCATGCCTCTTTGTGTCCTCTTGTGCACTTTTGTTAATTATCTGTAAACGGTAGAAAATCACTCAATACTTTTTTTTTTTTTGCAGGAACTTTTATGCATGGGGCGGGCCTTCCACAAAACGAATGTGCAGCAGGTGCAATACATGAGCGCCAGTTTATCAAATTATTTCCAGTTCTCTCACGCTTCACAAATTATTTAGAGGGACCATAAAGATTTTCGTTTCCTTCTTTATTTGTGACGTTCAGAATGAATGAGACATGCGTTTAGTTTGGCTATAGGCGCTAACTCTTATAGAAAACATTAAAGGAAATTGAAAAGCTCTAGTCTCTAGAACACATGGCTAGAGGAAGCTGTCGAGTGTTCTTTCATCCGTTCGTGCCACCAATGCTTATTACAGAGAGGCGCCTGTAAGGTGCTCGCATTACCCAGAGAACGTGTTCTGCTGCGGGGCAAATATCGTTCCATGGTCCGTTTTAAGTGAACTCCGCGGTTCGGGGTCGCGCATTTTCATGGACGGCTGAACGTGCTAAAGCGAGTCGAAGTAGTGTGCACCTTTTTTGCTTTTTTTTTTTGTCTTGAAAATATCAGCTTGCCACGTGCTTGTCGGTTGCTCCAGTAATTTAGAAACTGATTTAATAATATGTTAAAGTACGCTATACTTACTGTTTTTTATGGTTAAATCAACTTGAGTAATAATAGTCCGATTGCTTTATGGAGGGGATATTTAGTAGCTTGCCTTTAATACTCCTGTCGAGTTCCTATATTGCGACACTGACTAAATAACGATAATATACATGTATGTATCATAATGGCACGTGTGCCAAAGAACTATGACTTTAACTTCGAATACTAACTATGTCAATCTATAGTTAGCCCCCCTTTATTCCTGGAGAATGCACGTCAAACTCCCAATCTCTACATAATTCTAATATATACATTTTTTTTTTTTGTGATGGTGAATTTAAGTTATCAGTACGTATTATTCCGGATTGCCCTTCTTTCTTATACATCACGCGTCTCCTCATCCTCCTCTTTCAGGGAAGTCTTGACGCTTGAAGCAGCGCGATTTTCTTTTTCCTTCGCGTACTCAGCCTCAAAAATAATAAGTGTTAAAAACGTGTAGGTTGCACCTTCCACAAGCAAGCAATCCTGGTGGCGGATTTAAAACGCTATTTGTTAATCCGCTCCATACCCGTAAACTTTGACCTCTTCAAAGTTTTGAAGTTTAATAATAATTCGAGAAGGAAAAATATTTTTCCCTCCGATAAAAACAACAAAAATACAACAAGAGTTCAAGTCATAATTTAAACCCAGAGACGAGAAACAATAAAATAACAAACAATAGAAAAAAAGAAACAAATATATTAAGTTATTTTTTTTAAGAAATTCAAAATAATAGTTAAAAAGAAAAAGAAGAAGAAAACATAACACTGCCGCGAGGCAGACGGAGTGTCGTAATCCAAGGGAGGGGGGAAGGGTCCAAACTCCGAAGCCATTCTTCCTAGTCGAGCGTCCCGAGTGGGCAGTAGAAGGCCCAGCGCGGAGGCGTGTCGTCGGCCAAGTGGACATCGAACCCTCAAAACTCACCTTGTGCATGTTGAAGCGGTGGTGGCGGGTGGCTCGCTCCCGAGAGACCAGGAAGGAATATAACCAGTGCAAAAGATGCTGCTGCGAGCTTGTGGATGCTTTCTGTCGCCGCTCATCTTTATAGTCACTCGGCCGGGAACCGGCCGGGTACCGCCGACCAATCAGAGGCCGCTGCCCCACATTACCCAATACTGACGCCGCGGGGAGAGCCCTGTGCCCATAGAAAAAGAACAGCCCCCCCCCCCCCCCCCCTTTTTTTCGATATTAACAACGTACCAACAACCACGGCCGTTTTGCTAGCAGTAACGTGAGGACGGGGACGAATAAACTAAAGCAGGCAGCAGCAACGGTGGTGGTAGCGGCGGCGGGGGGTGGGGAGGGGGAGAGAGGAACGGACTTTAGGACGACTTTCACTGCCTCCTCCTCTCCTCCACGACGAGAGGATATCCCCGAGCCTCAGCTTAGATAAGAAAAAAAAATCCTGTCGAAATTAAATGGAACGGTATCTTCCGCCGAGATGCGCAGGATAGCCCCAGTAGAGAGAGGGAAGCGGCGCGAGAGGAAAAAGTGGTTTTCGTGACACACGACCTTCCTTCTGTTCCGTTTCTGTTTGCTCGTGCATATTCTTTGACGAAAACTAAAAAAAGTAAAAGAAAAGAAGATAGGCGTATAATAAAAAAATGACATTGGCGGCTGCCACCGTGGCGCCGGCTACTGCTGGACGCGTGAGTAATTGAGTTGAAATTTGAACGTGTCTTATGTTCATAATTCTGTAGGATGAATGTTCCTCGGAAGCGTTATGAGGCCGTTGGGTACGCGGAGAAACGAGATGTGGATGGCATACGTATACAAAACGAAGCGACGAAGCCAGGCATGTCTTAGATCTGTCAGTGTAAGATGTACTCAAGGAGAAGCCCTGGATGTCTTTAGTTAGTGAAAATTTAAGAATAGCAGAGCCTGGCTTGCTCTGTTTACGATTTTTGCTTTGTCATTCGTTCTTCGGAGGTGTTTTCAGATAATTCCTCAATCTCACTGACTGGGAAGCGATAAGAAGACGCTCGGAGCTCAAGACGCCCTCTGTGTCACTGCGGCGGGATAATCTTCTTAATAAGATGCGCAATTTATGTTGGTTTTCTTTGTTTTCTTTTTAAGCGTGGGGTGCGTTTTAGCGAGACTTTCTCATCCCACAAGTTTGTTTGTCCGTCCGTCCGTCCGTCTGTCCGTGAAATTCTCCCGTAAATCTAGCGGAGAAATCGACGTCAATCGAGATCAGGCTATCACGACACCTCGACTTCTTTAACAACGTGACGTCACATTAACGTGACCACGTCGTATGACATTAAATCGTGGGACGTACACTTTCCGCCAAAGATGGCGGGGAAAAAATTTACGCCGTGCGACGCCATGACACTCGTAGCACCACGACTTGAAATTTTGGGACGTCAATTTTCTCGCTAAATGTAGCGGGTAAGTTATTGTCACGTGACCTGACGCCACGTGACGGGACACCGTGACGCAAGCTCGTGTGTCCATGTCATGTGACCTCAGGTCGAGTGACACTAGGACTTGAGACCGTGACGTCAATGTCCCCGCTATACTTACTGCGGAAACTTTATGGCATGTGGTAAGACGTAATGTACCGTGCACGTTCCATGGCCACGTCATGTTATTTCTGGTTTTGTAACACTAACGTCACTGTGTCAAGTCCTGACGTCACGTGATATTATGACGACACTTGTCGTTAGGCCACGTGACGTCGATTTCTCCGCTAAATTTAGCGGAGAAATTAAGGAGGTAAACATTCTTCCCTCCCCGAAACGCATGTTCAAAGTCTTTGCCAAACCCGTTTGCTCTACTGACGTCTAACCCCTGGTTAGCTCAGTTGGTAGAGCGCTCCACTTGTAATGGAGAGGTCCCGGGTTCGATACCCGGACCAGGCGGATTTTTTCGGTCGCTCACCAGTCACCTAGTTGTGTTTGGAGATTTATGTTTGTCCTTTGTCCCCCTTGTTCCCCTTCTCCAGGGATTATTTTCGTCAATCTTGTCCAGCTCGCTTGCACCTTTGCATTTAATTGCATTATATTAAAGCATTACAGAAGGTAGCTCGACTGAGACTTCAATTCTAATGCAAAAATATTTAAAATTAGACAGGCCAATAACAAAAAATCTTGGAATATTTATAGATTACAGTCCAGGTTTATAGTCGCTCAGTCATGCATTTCTTCTCCGGATATTACAATTTTATGATATTTGTCGTCGCGTGCCGCACTCAATTTTGTACTCTTATACTACCGTGCGTCGGTATTAATTTTCACCATTCTTTATTTTCTCGTGCGCCGAAAACCCGCAGCGCCTTTTAGGTACTATTGTTGCGGGGGCACAAAACTCTACAAAACATTTACAAGACATACAAAACCAAACATTTGAGCGCGCTTCAGTTATACCAGACCTGGGCATTTTCTTATTTGGTGAAATAAAATTTTCCGAGCAACTGACGCATTTGAGCAATACACGCTACCGCACATTGGAAGCCATCACCAGAATGACTCGGCAGTTTAAGAGCTAATCTTGCTTCTTACATCTTTATCGATCGCTCACCTTGCCTAAATTAGATTTCTCTTGCGTGGTACAAACAACATTAAAATTAAAAATATTCAAAATAAGCTTGTTCGACTGCTTTACGATCGTTATTTTAATAGGTGGATTTATTTTAGTCATGAGCGATCATTGAAGCTGTTAAACTTGCATCAACTCTCCGAAATGAGGCAAGCACGGGATTTTTCCTTTTTGCAAAAATGTCTCCACGGTTTCATTAATTGTAGACAACTAACCTCATGTTTTCATTGCTGTACAGTGCGCCGCAATATGAAAGACCCACTTGGAGCGCTCGGCAACGCGCTCCGAGTGGGTCTTTCATATTGCGGCGCACTGTACCTAACAGGGCTCTTCGTTATTATCGTGTATTCGGTTGCTCAGAGTTGAAAAGCATAAGGCGACAGGAACGTATCCAGTTTGCTTTTAATACATCGGCTGTGATGAACAAGTAGATATATTTTTAAGAGAAATTTTTACAATTCAATTCCAGCTAAAACTTTTGTAATTAATGTTTTTTTTTTTTTTTTTAGCAACAAATGTTATGAAGGAAGACTGTTTGAGCTTTCCGTCCCTCAACTTTCGTGTCTCAACAGTTCATACCGGACCGTACGTAACTGTGAGTACCGTTTTATCGACTAAGTGTGTGCAATTTTCCCTTACACTAAACGTTTATTTTTGTAAAATACTTCTCTAACGATGCTTCTTCTTTTTTCTTTTTTTTTTGACTGTGCGTTGTGTTCAAGTTTTCTTTATTTACAGTGACTTTGTCTAAAAAACATTCTGCATCAATGCGCTATGTTATCAGACAGATGGTGCACCCTTCCATAGGCCCACAATCTGTTTAGGAGCACCAGAAAAGTCAAATAAACAAAATGTCCGCATTATCGCGACCCGCCACTTCCGCTGGTAAGTAGTATCACCCTAAAATGGTCCGTTAAAAATATCATATTCAAAAAGATTTGTTTTGTTGATATACGGCCAAACCTTGTTACAGTCGTTTCTTTTTTTCTTTTTTTTGAATAATATGGCGATTGCAGATACAATGAAACACAAATTCTGATCTGACTACGACAAACATGAAAAACAAACGCTTGAGGAGATGTTCACGGTGTTCACCCAAGGGGACACGGCCCAACTCTTGTTTTATTTATGTTGTGCTTAGGAAGCGACGTGTGCTTCCCCAAAACAATTCGAGGAGCAACCGATTGTACGTAGTTAAGTACGACAGCCAAGACACGGTAAACCGGATCCCACACGGGGAAAACATATTCCAGAATCAGCCTAACATATGCTTAATATGCGACCTTTTTAACCTCGCTACTAACGTGTTTAATATTCCCCAGAAAACAGAACAAAACAAAAGAGATTCCTGCCTTCCCAATTACGCTACTCCCTTGCGTTGACCATGAACCATCTTCGCATCCTCAGAAACTATCACAACTAAATATTTTGATGAGTATTCTGTTCGTATTAACTGATGATAGAGCGAGTACGGATTAGTAAATTTGTTTAATGCTCTTGGTGACAAATACGTGAACTCACCTTTAGCGACATAATATTCTTTGTACACCATGTTTCAAAGCATTTGAGGTCGCTCACAAGCTGTGTCGAATTCGTTTCAACAGACACTCTAGTACAAAGTTAACAATCAATTACGAACAGACGTGTTTCAATTTAAAATTCACGATAGTCGCCTTCAATTTAAATAAGAAAAATAATTGGCCTCAGGACAGACCCCTGGGGCGCTCCAGATGCAAAAGTGACGATACCGGCGAGCATCTTTCATTCTGTACGGAAGGGGTAGAAGAAAATAGATGCTGTTTTCTTGTAGAGTTAAGTAGTACCTAATCAAAGTAATCACGGTAATAGCAATATTTATATGATCAAGTTTAAATAGTAATATAAAGAAATATGTAATGTCGAATGTTTATATTGTGAGGGTGTTTTCGGTCGCATCAATAAGAAGACAAATGCCGTTTGTTTGTGGATGGTAAGGCGATGTCCTGCGATGGTCCACCTTGCATGCTTGGAGCAGAGCTTCGACTGTTTGTGCCAGAAAGGAGTGTCCCCGGTCTGTTATCAGGATCTGGGAGGCGCCATGTCGTAGGATGATGTGATGCAGAAGGAATCGTGCAACGCACCAGGCAGTTGCATCGGGAAGAGCTGCCGTTTCATGGCTATGAGGATCCAAAAAGGTCCACGCCCAATATATATATATATATATATATATATATATATATATATATATATATATATATATATATTAGAATATACAATAAATTTGACTTTCGTTATTGACTTCATTGGCGATATAATACGTTTTGATCAACTGTGTCGGGCACGAGAAGCTTTTTTTCTTAAACCTATGCTGATGATCGATCAAATACCCAATCAAAACAAAGGTGCTTGCTGAGCACAAAGTGGACGTGTTCAAATATTCTTGCAAGAAACTGAGGCGAGCGAAATTGGCTTGTGGTTCGACACGTCAGATTTGG